GGCCCCCCCCCCCCCCCCCCCCGGTGCAGAGGACCCCCGCACAGTGCTGGTGTGGGACAACAAGCTCAGGCTGCAGGTGCTGCCGGTGCTGCTCTTCTCAAACGGACACGTCGCCTTTGTGCAGCGCACGCCCTGGAAGTGAGTGGGCCGCCTCGCCAGCCCTCCCCTGCCCCCTGCCCCGCCCCTCATGCTCGCTGCGTGTGCCCGTGCGTGTCGTTCTGTTGCTCTGCTCCACAGACTGCTAAAGCCGCCGCTGCCCACCACCACCCAACCATCCCTCCACCCATCCATCCACCCTCCACCCCATGCAATCCCCCCCCAGGATGGGAGTGGCCCCCATCGCCATCCACACCACCTTCCAGCGCTACCACATCCCCGGCAAGCGCTCCCGCCTGCGCGAGTTTGGCCTGTGGCTCATGGACCCTCCTGAGTACTACGGAGCCCCCGCGCCAGCTGGCGCCCTCGGCGGTGCAGGCGCCGGCGCCCAGCCGCTGCAGCTGCTGGCCTATGAGCTGGATGTGGCGGCGTTTGTGGCGGAGGCGGAGCGGCGGCGCTACCCGGGGGCCCGCATGCCGCTGTTTGAGAAGAATTGGCTGGGCATGAGCTTCCAGCTGGCGGCGCTGAGGTGAGGTGGGGGTTCGTGGGGGGCGCAGGGCAGAGTGCGGGGCGAGGCCTGCCAGTGCTGTGCCGCACACGCCACCAGGCCATGCATGCATGCCGCGAGCAGCGCGGAGCGCCCTGCTCCACCCCCACCCGTCCCACCCTCGCCCCGCCCCCGCGGGCTGCCCTGCCTGGTGTCGCGTGCAGGGATGCGCTGGCGGCGGCGCGCATGCTGGGCCGCACGCTCATCGTGCCGCCCGTCTGGTGCTGGTGCGACTATGACGAGCACCCGCACATCCTCTACCGCTGCCGCATCAAGTGAGGGAGGGCCAGCCGCCGGCAGCGCCGCACACATGCCACGCTTGGCGGCGCTGGCCGGGGATGCCAGGCTCAGGCGCAACCTTGCCCACATCCCACGTGCTGGAGGCACCCCCCTGCTTGCCTGCGTCGGCCACCCAGCTTGTGGCTGCCTGTGTCTCATCCGTGCCCTGCCCCTGCCCCTGCCCCCTCCCTTGCCCCTCACGCGTTGCGGCCGCCCGCTGCCCCCACCTCCTGCCTGCAGGGGCACCGATTACGGCGTGCCTTTTGAGGCCCCCCTGGATTACCTCATCCCCGTGGCCCAGCTGGATGCCTATGGGGTGGCCTACCGCCACTCCAGCTTCCTGCAGCACCCCCAGGTGAGGCAGCAGGTGCGGGCGGTGTGCGCCGCGCCCTCCACTCCTGTCCCGCCGACTCGTGCTCCCAAATCTCGAGCTCAGCTCGGCTCGAGTGTGTGGCAAGTCGGTCTTGGGCCGGCGTGCCCCCTGGCCTCCCCTCCTGGACGCGCCCCAAGCCTGCCTCACGCGCCGGCTGCGCCGCGCTTGCCCGCAGGTGCCCGCCTCGCTGCGCCACTCTCGTGCGGCGGTTGACATCTCTCCCAGCCGCCCAGCCAACCCCTTCCCCGCTCCCGCGGTCACCATCGGGCACGGCGCCACGGTGTGGGCGGGCATCCAGCTGCCAGACCTGCTGCGTGTGCTGCAGCCGGTGCAGTCGTCGGCGGTGCTGGTGCTCAGGTGCGGCTGGGGCAAGCCGGCTGGTTGCATGGCAGCTTCTCTCGCAGGCTGCCTTGCGCAGGCCTGCTTGCTGGGGCAGCGAACGGTATGCCCTGCGACTGCCGCCATGACTACATGATCGGCACGCCGCCGCCTGCTGCCGATGCCGCCTCCTGCGCTGCTGCCGCACAGGGGCCACGTGCCCGGGTTCCTGGGCGGGTATGGGCCCCAGGGCGGCGCGGAGGCGGCGCAGATGGATGAGCTGTTTGCGGAGCTGCTGGGCAACGACGGCGCGTTCTGTTGCTTCTCTTGGGGCGACTCGGACCAGCAGTACGACCGTCTGAGATACGCCTGGCCGGCGCCGCTGGCGGGTGGGTGGGCTGGGCCGGGTGGGCTGTGTGCAAGGCTGGGAGGTGCGTGAAAGGGCCCAGGGGTGGTGTGCTGCCCTGCCCTTTCGGTCCCGTGCCTCCCCATCCCCACCGCCCCCGCCCCCCCACCGCTTGCCTGCAGAAGAGTGGCGCCCTTGGGAGCCTCCGGTGCTGCGGCTGCCAGAGTGGTGCGACCGGGTCAGCGCCAAGCACGGCAACCAGGGCTTCACGCGCCTGCGCCAGCACCCCTGCGCCTTCCTGCGCAACGCCAGCCTGGCGGCGGAGGCAGCCGACGACTCGGGGCCCTACAACACTGGGTGGGAGCCCCACTAGCGCCCTGGTCTGTGTCGACGTGTAACCTCCCATCGAAGCACACACAACCATGTGTTTGCGAGACGTGTCACTATAGCTGGTCGGGATTGGTGTCAGGCATCCATCCCGGCGCATCCCGGCGTGCATCCCAATGCGCATCCCAATGCCATTGCAAGTTATCTTTACAAGTACAAGATACTTTACATATACGAGAACCTCTACACCAGGCCGCTGCCGCCGCTGGTGGCAGCGTGCGCGGCGTGCACGGCGGCCATGTCGCGCACCTCCACCAGCAGGTATGAGCAGAGCTGCTGCAGGCCGGGCGCCCCCTCACCCGCCATCTCCATCACCTCCTCGTGCTGGATGCACTGCTTCCAGGCTGGCATGCGCTGGAAAGCCTGCCAGTACAGGTGCAGCTGCTCCGCTGCGGGCAGGTGGGGTGCGAAAGGATGCTTAGCAGGCAGGCAGGTCACAAACGAGAGCAGGAGCAGAGCCAGCTCAGTGCAGCAGAGCTGCGCGGCCGCGGCCGCACCTGGCAGGCCGCAGTCCTTCACGGCTGCCTTCATCTGGCGAAACATTTCGTAAGGATTGAGGGGCCCGCCGCCTTCCCCTGCTCCCGCTGCCCCGCCCCGCTGCAGCAGCTGCTCGCCGGTGGCGCCCGTGAGCTGCACAGAGTGCGAGGGCTGCTGCTGGCGCTGGCTGGCGCTCAGGAACTCTTGGTCCTGCTGCTGTTTCGGTGGCAGGCCGCTGGTCAGGCTGGCCCCTGCCGCATCCGCGGCAGCACCCGGCCCCACATCGTCCCGTGCAGGGGCAGCCAGCATGGCACCTGCCGCGCTGCCTTCTGGGGCAAGCTGCCACGGTGCGGCAGCTTGCTGCTTGTGCGCCACGGGCTGCTCCTGCTGCTGCTGCTGCTGCTGCTGCTGCTGCTGCTGCTGCTGCTGCTGCTGCTGGCCCTTGTTCCATTCATGCTGCGAAAACATGGCATCCACTCGCTGCTGCTTCACAGTGCTGCCAGGGCTGCGCATGGGCGACAGCGCTGCGGCGACGGCGCTGCGCTTGCGGCCCGCCAGTGCAGATCCACCTGCCGCCCCTGCGGCGGGTGCTGGGGCGGCCATGCCGGTAGCTGCAGCAGTGGCGGCTGCCGTGACAGCCGCAGCCACAGCCGCTGCCGCAGCAGGGGTGCCGCTGCCGGCCTCGCCGCCGTTTCCCCTGGCCGCCGCAGCGTGCACCACAGTCAGCACGGCCACCGGCACCTGGCTGGCTGCAGCAGCGCCTGGAGCAGCGGGCGCAGCGGGGCCGCAGCACCACAGTGTCCCCAGGCTGCAGGTTGAGCGCCTTGATCGCTGCCGACCAGCCGTGGCACAGCTTGTGGCCCTTGCCAGGCGTGTGGCTGACATCTATGGCAAAGGAGAGGGGCAGGGATCCAGGGCCGGTGGCGGGATGCTGCAGCACGACGCGGCTGCGCGGCTCGCTGGTGCCAAACGACGACACCCAGGCAGCCTCTGTGGGGCAAGCGAGGGAGAAGACGCCAGGATGGGCAGCGGGTGGCAGGCGTGACGGGCAGGGTGCTGCACACAATGCGGCGGCGGATTTCCGATTGGCAGAAGTGGGTGCTCTGCTCCTTACCCGAAAACTTCACCTGGAGGTGCCTTAGCAGCACCTTGCTGGCCCCGGTGCCGTCGGGCAGCACCTGCCACACATTGCGGGTCGGCGCCGCTGCTGGTGGCGCATCGCCGTTTGCTGCTGCTGCTGCATCTGCCATCGGTGGTGCTGCCGGAGCAGGCGTGGGGCCTGGGGCCGCTGCCACACCTGCGGCTGCAAGCACGCCGGCTGCACCCGCCCCGGCTTCCTGCTGCCCGCTGGTGGTGTGCGGGGGCAGCGGCTGATTCAGTTCCCCACATCCAGCGGCTTCCAGGGCGGGTGGCGCCGCCACCGCTGCCACGCCTGCTCCACCTGCCACCGCCACGCTGTCTGCGGCTGCGGGCTGGCCGCGAGACGCAGCACCAGCTTGCGACTGGCTGGGCGCCACCTCCGGCCCGCTTGCTGTTGGGTGCTGCACCTGCTGCTCCTGCTGCTGCTGTCCGTCTCCAGCCACCGCCTGCTCGCCCGACGGCGCTATCGACAGCTCGGCTGCAGGCTCTTGGGGCTGGCTGCTGCCATGCGCAGCCGTCTCCGCCTCGGCAGATGCCTGCTGCAGGCCACCCTCGCCCTCTCCTGGCCCGTCGTCCTCCCCTGCCGCCTGCAGGTCCACGTACTCTGCCGAGGCCAGGTTGGCCAGGAACTGGGTCCAGGAAATCTTGCGCAGCTCCTGGGTGGAGGAGAGCAGGGGGTGAGGCGAGGTGAGGGCGGGTTGCAGGCGGCGGCCGGCAGCGGCAGCGGCTTGCAAGGCACATGCGGTTACGCCTGCTCACGTCGAGCTGCTCCTCAAACTCCTCGGCGGCGTTGGGGTTGCGAAACAGGACCTCCTGCAGCGGCAGAGCCTTCTGCAGAGCGACTTTCGCGCTGATCAGGTCCGATATCTCGAGGGCGGCAGTGAATTCAAGCTGCTTCGACACCCTCTCCCCAGTGTCCGCCAGGCACAACACATAGTAGCCGTCGAGATCGTTGATTGTGACCAGCTCGGTCATAGGGCCCACAGCGGTGACCAGCTCGGCCATAGGGCCCACCAAGTCACATACGCATATCGGGAAGCCTCAGGCCGCAACAGATGCAGGCGAGGATAGAGCGGTGGCGCAGCGTGCATAGCGTGCGCTGCGGCGGGGCCGTGAAGAAATTGAGTGCCCGACAGGTGCTGGCAGGTGATACCCAACTCATGAAGGCTGGATAAACTCGCTGGAAGCCGTGGTCCCTCAATGCAAGCCGCTGTCTCGCTTGCTGATTGAGCGCAATCGTGGCGGGCGCAAGCGCCGACGCGCTGTGGCGATGAATCGAAGGGAGCACTGACGCTTGCATGCAAAGGGCAGCATCCATGGTCGCAATTGTTAATTCTCCCAAACTCGTTACAAATCGACGCCGAAGTTTGACACCGCTTTCCACCAGCTTCACGGCTGGCGCAGGTACACCTGTGACGGCCTTGGATCCGGCTCGCCGTCACATTCATCAAGGGGAGGGCACAGCAAGCCTGGCATTTTTGTGTGCGCAATGGACGGGCTGACCCCCCAGCCTCAGCAGAAGCAGAAGCCCCAGCTCCAGCAGCTGCTGGCCAGCGTGCAGCTGTGCATGGCCAGGGCAGCAGCAGCAGACCTTGGAGGCAGCGGCGTGGACTGCAACAAGAAGAAGGCCGGGCGCAGCGGCTTCCTGGGCGTCACAAAGCACAAGTGAGCGCCAGAGGGGCCTGCCAGAGAGCCCGGGAGGCCTACCAGTCACTGTTGCAGGGCCTCCCCGGCCGTCCAAGGCACCCCTGCAGGAACGGCGCCGCCGGCGCTCAAAAGCCTTGCCGCCGCCGCCGCGCGGGCGCCATGCATGGAGGCACGCGGCCCAGGACCAGGCAACGTATGCGTGCCCCCGCCCAGCATGTCTTCCTGCCCATCCCTGCATGCCCTTTCTTCAGGCGCACGCAGCGGTACGAGGGCCACGTGTGGGCAGACAAGAAGCAGGTCTACCTGGGCGCGTTTGACGACCAGCGCCTGGCGGCTGCCGCCCACAACATCATCGTGCTGCGGTCGCGCGGCGCGGCGCCGCACCCCGCCGGCGAGGACGACGGCCTCAATTTCCCGCCGGCCTGGTACTCGGAGCTGCTGCCCATGGTCGCCGTCATGCCGCAGGTGGGGCCGGGGGCAGGGAAGGACGATGCCAGACGGCACGAGAGGGTGCACGAGTGGCGGCGCGCGAGGGGAACACCTGGGGCAGCGGCCGCCGCTACTGTGGCACTCTTTTTTCCGCACAACACGCTGTCTCACCCTGCCCCGCCCGCGGTGCCCCGGCCCAGGCTGAGGTGGTGTCTGCGCTGCGCACCTACAGCAAGTCGCTTACGGCCAGGCCCTCGGGCCGCGACGGCGGCGGCAGCCGTGGCGGCAGCAGGGCTTGCAGCAGGGCCAGCAGCGAGGGGCAGGGTGGGGACGCCATCAGCAGCGGCGGCAGGGGAGGCAGCGCGGCCAGCAGCCTGGCCAGCGGCCGGCGCAACAAGCGCAAGGCGCCCACGCCGACCGCCTCGGTCACCGACCTGGAGAGCATGGGCCAGCGGCAGCAGTGGCAGCAGCAGCAGGCAGCACAGGACCAGCTTCCACCTGCGGGCAGCACTAGGCCGCGACGGTACCCGCCCCGTCCCGCTGCGGTTGGACAAGAGGCCTCCAGCAGCCTGAACCCGTCGCCCTCCGGCGCAGCAGCCGCGGCCGCGCGCACAGAAGTCGCCCCGAGCGATGGTGGGCAGCTGCCGGGCGGCCAGAGGCAGCTCAGTGCCGCCAGCCCGCCCCTGCAGAGCAGCGCAGCAGGTGGCGTGCAGCCTGGCAGCCCGCTGAAGATAGCCGCGCTGCACACCTCGCCAGGGCTGCCTGGAGGAAGCGCAAGCATAAGCGGTGGCTTAGACACATCCCTTCAGCCTGCTCCGCTGCTTGCGCTGGCCGCCCCGCAGCCCCTGACGCCATGGCCTCATTTTGCCAAGGCTCGTGATCTGACCAGCCCTCCAGCCCCTGTGCAGCACGCGGCTCAGCACAACAACCACCTGCTGCACCAGCTGCCACCGCACCCCAGCCACCAGCAGCAGGGGGGTGGAGCGGCGGGCATGTCGGTGCATTTGCTGCCTCCGGTGGTGGCTTCTCGAGCGATCCGCGAGCTGGCCAGCATCCAGGCTGCCCTGCGCATGCTGCCTGGCTCCCCAAAGTGATCCTGAAGAACATTTTTGGGAGAGAGATTTTGCATGCGCATCGCGTCATGCGCATTTCGTGCAGTGATGTGCCTCTTCCTCCTGTGTGCCTCCCCATCGTGCTGTGCCCGCATGCCTCCGCCCCCATCCCTTGATTGCCTTCGGCAATGTGCCTGTGATTCATATGCCTTACTGCATGCATTCATTTGACAAGCTATGTGCAACAACGGGCTGCAACAACCGCCAAGACAGGCTGCCCAGGGTAGTGGCTGTGCCGGGGAGGCTGCCGTCACCAAGGCAGGGGTGGGCAGCTCGCCTCAGGTCAGATCCACAAGATCATGATCCACGCCCTCAGCCTCCTCCCCCTGGGATGGCTGGTCCCCAGGCTGCAGCTGCCCCGCCTGCCCAGACGCCTGCTGCCCTGCCTCCTGCGCCAGCACGCGCTGCTCCGACAGCTGCTGCCCTGCAGGCTCCTCCACCCCCTGGTGCACTCCAGCAGGGCCCTCAGCTGGCTGCTCGCTCTCTGCCTCCTGCTGGACGAAGCTCGTGGGGGCTGCCTCCGGCGAGGCGCGCTGGGCTGGACGCACATCCTCTGCCTCGCCTTCCACGCCGCTCCTGCCGCGCTTGGAGCCCTGGGGCGCTGCCGGGGTCTCCACCACCGCTGCGCCCGGCGCCAGAGGTTGCTCGTCTGGCGGGGGTGCCTCCTCGTCTGCCGGCGCCGCAGGCGGGCGCTCCACGCTGAAGCCAAACAGCAGGTGGCCGTCGCGGCGCAAGAGGAAGAGCTGATCGCCGGGCTGCAGGGTCACCGTGGCGCCGGCCTCCAGGCGCTGCACGTCACCCTGCCGCTGGGCCTGCGATGGAGGAGCCGCCTGCTCCCGCGGCCCGCGGAGCAGGTGCACCACACTGTGCGCCTCTGCCTGCAGTGCCAGCCTGCTCTGCCGCATGTCGCTGCCGGCGGAGGGCATGGCGCGTAGGCTGACGTGCCGGCGAGAGATGGAGCGCCCAATGCCGCCCAGGCTCAGGTTGCTGATGCCAGACTGGCGGTTGCGGCCCAGCACAGCCGCCGGCACACCGCCTTGCGCTGGCGTGGCCACCGCCAGCAGCGGCGCGCCAAACAGCGGGCGCAGCAGGAAGGCAGGCGGGGCGGGCGGCTTGGGCGACGCCCGCGGGGACTCGGTCTCAGAGGAATCGTCCGATTCTTCTTCCCACAAGCGGACCATCTGAGTAGGAGCAAACATTGGTGCTAAGCATGCGCTGCCAAGGTTGGTCTCAGCAGCACTCCTGGGATCCTTGCCTCAGATGCAGACAGATTCCAGTCTCCTGTGGCCCCACGACGCCATGCGCCCCTCGTGGGCATCCGCAGTACTACCAGTGTACTTTGTGAGCAAACAGCCTCCAATTCAAGCCAATTCTTTCAATTCAGACACCTGTGAGTGCCAGTGCTGGTCCTAACTCATGTGAAAACCCGCCTGCTGTTGCAGCACCCTCTCGCACATCGCCTCTGGCCCATCGGAGCGACTTTCCCCCCGCTTCTACTGCCCTGTTGTAGGCGACTGCGCTTTAGGAAGGGAGGGCCTGGGCCGCAGGCCGGCCTGGGCTTTGCAGCCCACTTCACGCTCCGCACCGCAACCGCCGCCCAACCTCCCTGTCAACAAGCAGCACGACGGGGCCTTCGGCGATGCAGCGGCTGCAGCGCGTTCTCCATAGGCAGCAGAACAGCTCCAAGCCAATTCTAGCAGCATGCCAGGGCGACACCGGAGGCGACGAGATGGCGGCGGCAGCAGCGGCAGGGTGCCCAGCGCTGCCAGGTACCATCAAGACAATGGGGACAGCACCGGACCTGGGCCTGCAAGCCCAGCCCGCCAAGGGCAGGCAGGGCTGCGACCGAGTGAGCGATCTGGGCATCAGAGGCTGCAATGAGGATGAGGCAGCCAGCAACGGCAAGCCCTGGAGCATCCCGGCGGCAGCGTCGCGGCGCGCCAGCAGCTTGGGCGACGGCTCCGACTCGCAGCAGAAGCTGAGCGGGCACCAGGTGAGGTGGAACTGAGAGGGCCGCGCTGCTCGCCTTGATGGAACCTTACTAATTGGTGCGGTGCTACCCCCTGCAGGCCGCTCTCAAAGAGGCCACCCTTTGCTCCCCTGCCTCGACCGTGTCTCCCGCTGCCCTCCCAACACGCCCCACCCGAGCACCCAGCTCCGAGTTTCAGGGCTGGGCGGCAGAGGAGCAGCTGTCAGCCTGCTGGGGCAGCCGCGGCACCAGCTTGTGCAGCAGCACCAGCAGCTGGCCAATGGGCGGTGCTTGCGCATTTTGCTACCACCAGGGGCACCATGCCTGGCAGCGCGCCGCTGCCGCGGGGCCCGAGACATCCGCTGGCAGCCTGCCCGGGAGGTTCGGCGGCGCTGGCGCACATGCCACCTGGGAGTTGGCGCGCCCAAGCAGCGCACCCGGGGAGTACAGGCAGTACACAGCCACAGCCACAGCAATCCTGGAGGGAACGGACAGCGGCAGCTGGGGAGAGGTGGAGGGCGAGGGCTGGTCAGGCGAGGGCAGCCCAGACAGCGGCAGGTCTGCTGGCCCCGCAGCCTGGCGGCAGCAGGATCCGCCGCAGCACCCGGCGCGCTGCCATAGCGCTGGCGTGCAGACCGGCGCTTCACTGGAGCTGGTGCCCGGCTGCCTGCCTCGTGCCAGCAGCCCAGTACAGAATGCTGTCGACACCTGCCTGCCCGCCTTGCCCGCCACCTCTGCTATGGGGCTGCCCGGCGGGCAGCAGACGGGCTGGTCGGCAGTGCGGTACTCGCAGCTGCACCAGGCAGGGGCGGAGGAGATTGAGGAGGAGGGCGAGGAGGAGCGGCGGCTGACAGATGAGCCCAGCGCTCCCCCAATGTACAATGAGCCATGGGCCACTGAGGGCTGCCTGGACTCGGATGCACCGCTGGGGCACAGCAGCCCCGCCGCCGCCAAAACCGTGCGGTTTGCAGAGGGGAGCGGCGGCCAAGGCGACGGCAGCAGGAGCGGTGCTGGTGCTGACGGCGGCCCTGCCAGCTCTCCGTGGTCGCCCTCAAGCCAGCCGGCTTGCCATGGCAACAGCTGGGGGGCAGCGGCAGCCGTGTGCGGTGCTGCGCTAACCGGCGGCGTTCTGCGCTGGAGCTCCGAGACCTGCTGCAGCCAGGGGGATGGGCAGGCAGGCAGCAGCTCGCCCAGCCGCCAGATTTCTGAGGAGACGGCCAGGTTCCAGCGGCTGCTGGACACTCTGGCGGCCCGCAGGCGCGAGGCGGCGATCGCTGTGGGCAGCCGCAGCCCGCCTGACAGCAGGCCGCCCTCATGCATCCGGGGCGAGGCCCGCACCTATGTGGCAGCAATGAGCGCCTCGGGTGCAGCTGGAGAGCGTTCTGCGGCGGTGTGTGGCATCAGCGGCAGCGGTGGGGCGGCCTGGCCGGACGTCACACTGCCATGTGCCGCCCCCCGGCAGCCAGAAGCAGGCCAGTGGCAGACGGGATGGGCGCTACACCTTTCCCCAGCAGGGGATGCAGCAGAGCAGCAGCGCCTGCTGCCGCTGACGCTGCCCGTCAGCGCCCCATGGCCGGGCATGTCCACATTCCTGGGCAACCTGCGCAAGGCGGCAGAGGTGCAGCCCAGGCCACAAGGCGGCTTCTGGGACCAGCCCGTCACGGAGGACGATGAGGCTGTGGGCGTGCCGGCAGCAGAATCCTTGGGCAGCTCTGCACACTGGGTCAGCGGTGGTTGGAACGACGGCAGCAGCTGGGAGGGCTGGGCAGCAGCGGAGCAGCACTGGAGCCCCCCGGGGCGCAGCATGATGGCGGGTGCAACTGCGGGTGGACTTGCCAGGGAGGTGCACGATGCTGGAAGCCACGGCGTCGGCATGGCAAATGAGCCTTGGGCGCCGCCTCCCGGCTGTTCCTCGCCCAGCCCACCGCGGGACCTGGGTCTGCCATCCTCGCCCACCAGGAGCCCTACCGTCACCCTGGGCAGTTCCAGGGGCCTGACCCGTCCCGCGCCGCCAGCCATCAAAGTGCCGTCATCACCTCCTCCGGGCCTGGTGTCGGCCTGTTCGCCCTTGGGTAAGATGCATGCGGCGCGGTAGCTGGCTGGGGTTTGTTCGATTGATGCACAACGGCAGCTGCTTAGCAGGGCTGCCATCCTGCTGATGCAGGGGAGGGAGCGCGGCGGCTGTTTTGAGTGGTAGACGTAATTTGAAGCTGGAGAGATGGATTTCTGCTGCTGGGTTTGATGGTGCCGTATCGCCGGTCCAGCAGGCGGGAGCTGACGTGGCGGCGGAGACGGCGGCGGCTTCGTCTCTGTGCCTTGCCTTGCACCACATCAAGTCGCTTGTAATGGAGTACCCTACTGAGGAGCAGAATGGAGGAGCAGCGCCGACAACGGCGTTCAAGGCTGCCGAAAAACGGTTGCAGCTGCACAGGGAGCAGCGCGTCAGCAGCAAGTGAGTCGAGCGGCGATTGTTGAAGTTATTGCTGCTGCCATTGCACTCGCCATCACGCCCATGCTGACTGTTTCGCTCCCTTTGCAGGACCGGAAGGAGGCGCAAGGGGTTCATCGTGCGCCCCACCGATCTGTCAGACGTCGTGGACCTGCAGCCCGGCGCCCAGCACGCCGGGGTGACGTGCCTGGGTGTGCCGTCGGGCATGCCGCCCACCGCTGCCGCCTACTCGTTCGCCATGCACCCAGGTGTGTGCCTGTGGCAAGCATAGATGGAATGGGTTATGGCGGGAGCATATGCAATGCTGTTTTAAGGCATCGCATGATGCAGCAGGCGAGCAGGCGGCCTCCTTTCGTCTGCACTTTGCAGGCCTGCTGGTGGTGCGGGGTGCTCTGGAGCCTGCCCTGCAGCGGCAGCTGGTGATGGATGCCTTCACCCGCTTCTGCGAGCCGCCCAACCACACCAACCACACCAAGGCGTACCCGGGGGGCCTGCCGGGCATCTGGATCGCGGCGCAGCAGGGGCTGCGGCTCCAGCAGGTGGCGGCACAGCCAAAAGAGCTGGAGCAGGCGCACCAGGAACAAGAACAGCAGCAGCAGGAGGTTGCACCAGCGGTAACCAGGACAGAGCCGCAGTCGGTAGCTCCAGCAGCACCAGCAGCAGGGGTGTGGGGCCCTGGTGGCAGCGGCCCCACCGCGGAGAGCCTGCTGGTGCGGCTGCGCTGGGCCACGCTGGGTCCGCCTTACGACTGGACGCAGCGCACTTACCGACAAGACGTGCAGCACGTGCCGCTGCCGGCCCCGCTCCACCAGCTGGCCGCCTCGTTGGCTGACCTGGCGGCGCAGCTGCTGGGGGAGGGTGGCGACCAGCAGGGGCTGCTGGCCCAGGCCAGGCCGTACTGCCCGGATGCAGCGCTGGTGAACTTCTATTACGAAGGCAAGGAGGAGGAGCTGCAGCATTGCAACACGGGGCGGGGTTTACATCATGCCTTGCTGCTGGCCATGCACCATCCTGCCCTTGCCTCCTGCCTGCCCGCCTCCCCGCCCATGTGCAGGCGACACGCTGAACGGGCACATTGACGACGCGGAGCGCAGCCTCGACCAGCCCCTGGTCAGCCTCAGCCTGGGCTGCGATGCCGTCTTCCTCATGGGAGGCGCCAGCAAGGATGTGGCACCCACCGCGCTGCTGCTGCGCAGCGGCGACGCTCTGGTGCTGAGCGGCCCCGCACGGCGGTGCTACCACGGCCTGCCGCGCGTGCTCACGGATCGGCCGCTGCCCGAGGCGCTGCGGTGCGGCGGCGCCTGTGGGGCGGATGGTGGCAGGGATGGCACGAGCGATGCCGATGCGGCCAGCAGCAATGGAACGGCCAGGGAAGCTACCAGCGAGGGCGACCCGTTCTGGCCTTTTGAGTGGCACATGAGCCGCTGCCGCATCAACATCAGCCTGAGAGACACGCGCTGACTTTCAAGCCTGTCAGTAACAAGATGTGAGCAGTTGCAGACGCATACAAACAAGATATCAGGGCAGGGTTGTGCAATGTTGTTGTGTGGCGGGTTGTGTGGGGTCGCTAAAGTGGCCAAGGTAAGCTCAGGCATGCATGCAATGAATGGTTAAGTATTGCCATCAGGTGCCTGTTCGGCAGCTGAGGCCTCAGCCCTGCCTGGCGGCCGCTGCGCGGCGTGCCTCGGCAAAGCGCAGCGGCGGGGGCGCCGCGCGGGCCGCGCTGGCGTCCTGCTGCGCCTGCGGGTACTGCGCACTGTACTGCTGCTGTCTGAAGCTGCTGCCCAGATGGCGGGACGGCGGCAGCTGCATCGGTGAGTCCATACTGTCTCGCGTGAAGAGCCCAGGGCTGACGGCGGAGTTGAAAGAGTCGGCTCTCAGCAGGAAGTCGTCGGAGCGGCGGCGGTACAGGGCGCTGCTGAGGGCGGGCCCCGCGCCGGTCCCGGGGGCTGGCGCCTGGTCCTGCTGCTCTTGTGGCGGCGGCAGGCCGTGCTTCACGTGGAAGGGTATGGAGCCAGGGGGCGGGTGGTCGGGGGAGGCGCTGCAGCAGGGAGGTGGGCGGGCACCAGGTGGAGAAGTGATGCTGGCGGTCGGGCATGCCACGCCGCTCCCAAATCGTGACTTGCACGCACGCGAGGCTGCGATACAGGAGGTGGACAGGCGCAGAGAGGGGGGTGGCTGCGCACCTGATCTGAGGCCCAGGCGTGAAGGAGCCCCCGCTGCTGCCGCTGCTGCCGTCTGGTGTGACGTGGTGGGGCTCCAGCTGCTGGGCAGGAGAGGTGAGCATGTCGAGCGGGGCAAAGCCGCCGCTGCCGCCGCGCAGCAGAGGGCTGGCATGCTGGGGGGACGGGATGGGGACGGCCGTCGCAGCCAGACCCTGCTGCAGCTGCTGCTGCTGCTGCAGGCCGGCAGACAGGAGGGACTGGTGCGGAGCTGGGTGCTGCTGGTAGCCCAGTGGCTCGTGGTAGGGCTGGTCCTGGCACACCTGGTGCTGCTGCTGTTGCTGGCCGTCCCAGCCACCATACGTGCGGGCCCCAAAGGCGGACTGCTGGCCAAAGTACTGCTGATGCTCATGATAGCTGGCTGGCTGGACAGTGTGCTCACCGCTGGCCCGCCCGCCGTTGGATCGCATCGAATCCAAGCTGAAGCGGGGCGACTTGTGCCCGGATGGGCGGGAGGCAGGCTGGCTCTCTGGCGGGACAGGGTGGTCACCGCTGGCGCGTCCGCCAATGGATCGCATCGAATCCAGGCTGAAGCGGGACGACTTGGGGGCTGATGGGCGGTGAACTGGCAGGCTGGCTGGCTGCGCCGCATCGCCTCTCGAATGGGCAGACTCAGAGGCGGAGTCGCCCCACACCTCATCCTCTTGCAGGGTGGCCATCAGCTCGCGCTGCAAGGGGGGGGCAACAGGAGGCAGGAGGCAGCAGTGGCTTTGAGTTGGAAACAGCGACACTGATGCCGCCACTGGGCAGCCCAGCAGGAGCAGCCCGCGCTGCCCACCCCTCACCTGCGCCTGCTTCTGCTCCACACCCGACAGCTGCCCATACTCTGCTGTGCTGCGCACCACTGCGCACGCGCTGGCGGCGGGGCTTGCCGCCATGTCGGCTGCCGGGACGGCGACGGCGACGGCGCGGCCGCCAAAGCCAGCGGCGCTGCTCGCCGGCCTGCCGGCAAAGGCTGCGAGGAAGTCGGCCCGGGCGGCAGGCGCCGATGCGGCCTGGTGCGCCAGGGGCAGGCTGCCATAGGCCGCGTACAGCGGCAGGTGGCTGTGCGGCGGGCTGCCCGCGGCGCGCGCAGCGGCGGCAATGTGGGGCAGGGAGGCGAGCGGCGGGTGCAGGTCGCGGGGCAGGGAGCTGCAGGGCAGCGGCACCTGCGGGCTGTGCATGAAGGCGCCCTGGGCTGGGGCGGGGTGGAACACCAGCGGCGACTGCTGCTGCTGCTGGAACAGAGGGTCCAGCCAGGGGGAGGAGTCCATGATCTGTAAGAGGGAGGAGGGAGGGACGAGAGGCAGGGAGGGAGCAGGAAGGCAGGGTGCGTGTGAAACATGAGCGAGGTCAGGGTGTTAGGCAGCCTCCTGCGCAGGCCGGCCTGATATGGACCGAGTGGCATGCGATCACTTCTGCCTGGATAAGCCAGCCTGCCAGGCGCCTACCCATCCCGCCCACCTGGTCTGTGGCTCGGTAGCTGGAGCTGCTGGGGTCCATGTTGAACATGAGCAGCTGGTCGGAGCTGGACAGAAGGTCGCTGCCTGCCCGGCTGGACGCCCTGCACACAGCCACAGGGGACAAGCGCGTGTCACACGGAAAGACCGGGGTGCAGGCTGTGGAGGGAGCGCGGGCGTAGCTTGTGCACGGCAGCCCCGCCAGGCAGCGCTCACCCCAGGCGGGATGGTCGGTAGAGGTATTGCTGCTGCGCGTGCCAGGAGGATGCCATGCCGCCGCCCAAGCGGCTGGGCGGCAGCGGCGGCCTGCCCTCCGCGACGTGTGCGGCGGCTGCACTGTTGGGCCAGGCTGGCGCCTTGCGTGGCGAGTAGTCGGCGAGCACATAGTCCAGCGCCTGGTGCTGCGGGTCTTCCAGGTTCTGCGCCCAGCCGGGAAGGGGGCTCAGGCGAAGGTAAAATTAGAAAGGAGGTGAAAGAATGGCTGGCAGGAGGCTGCGTTGCTCCTTCTCCATCGCAGCAGCAGGGCCAGTCGGGTGGCACCGCCGGCCCCCGCACCGGCATGGCGGCCACGTGGCGGGAGCCCAGCGCCACAGGAGGCGGCAGCTGGCTGAAGAAGGTGCTGGCGAGGTGTGGGGCCCGCTCCGGTAGCTGCACCTCCCGCGGCGCCTCCTGCTTGAAACCGTCCTCGTCGCTGCTGATCTCCTTGCCCACCGAGTCGCCGTCTGCAGCAGGGCCGCCGGCGCGGCCGGCTGCTGCCGCGCTGCTGCGCCTCTTGCGGCGGCTGGCGACCAAGTACCAGGTGAAGCCCGCAACTGCAAGAAGGCAGGAGGAAAGCTTGGTCCGTTGATCAGGCGTTGCAGCAGGGCATGCCATCAGGCAGGCAGCAGTGGACAGGACTGTAGCCACACGCGCAGCCACAGGCGCAGCCACGGGCTCGCCTAGAGCGATGAAGACTGCGCCTCCCGCGGCGGCAGCGGCGATGTAAGCAGCGTCGGTGCCACCGTCATCGCCGCCGTCCACAGGCCCGCCTGCCACCGCCGGCACAGGGCCGCCTGCCGGATCAGGAGCACCTGCTGGCTGGGCGAGGGCCGGCTGGACAGCAGCCAGTGCCGCCGTTTCAGTCGCTGGGGATGCCGCGGGAAGGCTGGTGCTAGCTGGCGCTGGGGGAACTCCCTCTGGCTGCGGCGACATCTGCAGAGGCGCCGGTGCAGCAGCCGTGGGCGGGCCGGTGCCGATGGCAGGCAGCGGCTCCGCTGCCGGCGCAGGTTGCTGTGCCTTCCAGCCGGACAGTCTCTCCTCGACGCCGGACACCAGTGCTGGAGCCACTACTGCTGCTGCCTTGAGCTCAAGCGCTGGTGCAGGGGCTTCTGGGGCAGGCACTGCGTGGGCTTGGCCCTCTGGCACTGGTGCTGCCCACTTTGCCTCCTCCCCAGCCAGCGCTGCAGACCGCTGCTGCACCCCCTGTAGGATGGAGGGGGCCAGGGCAGCTACCACTGCTGCAGCGTGGCTGCGCTTCGTGGCCAGGGCCGTGGCTGGGGATGGCAGCGTGGCAGCTGGCTCCTGCGCTGGCTCGCCAACTGCCACCGGCGCAGCTTTGAACTGCGCCCTGCTTTCCTCAGCAGGCGCCATGATGAGCGGCTCTGCCGCCGGTGCAGGCAGCAAAGGCTCCGGCGCTGGTTCTGCCGACGGGGCAGCCCAGCCTGGCTGTTTGACCGTGGCAGCCACCACTTTATCGGCTGCCGGTGCTGCCTCCAAGGGTTCTGCTGCTGGTGCAGCAATCACTGGCTCCGTCTCAGGCGCCTCCCCAAGCGTCTCTGCTGCTGGAAAGGGGGTGGTTGCAGAGGCCAGGCCTGCGCGCTGTTCGCCTTTGCTGGGGCTGGGGCTGAATGCCTGGGGAGGCTGCAGCTGGACATCTGTGGTGAAGGCACCAGTGGCTCCAGCGGCAGGAATGGCGGCCCTGCAGCAATGGCTAAGAAGAGCGGGGTCGGCAGCTGCCTTGCTAGAGCTGCTCCCATGGCTGTGCATGCCCCTTGCGGCTTACTGTGCCAGCAGCGGGGCCCCATCAGCAGGATAGATGAGAAGGTCCAGGGGCGCGGGAGGCACGCCACTGCATGGGCAGGTCAAGGGTCCGGAGGATGATGCCAAGGCGGACGCAAAGGCGTGACACCCATGATCGCTACCAACCCAGCCCCGACTGCACCGTGGGCCCACCTGAGCTGCCAGCTGGCAGTGCCAGCCACGTTGGACAGCTGGCGCCATGCACCGCTCTGCTCCACCTGCGACTCTGGCACAGGCGTGGCATACTCAGCTAGTCCGATGAATCCTGGGCAGTCCACTCAAGACAAACACACAGCCCTGTCTGACGGCTGAAGCCCTGAGGCCCGCGCCGCGGCGGTCGCCTGCCTGGGTCGCGTTGGTGCCCGCATCGCCAGATCCCTCGGTGCGCACCCACAGCGCCTTTATGCCGCCGCTGCCGGCCACATGCTCCAGGTGCAGGCGCAGCCAGCCGTCGCCCAGCAGGCTGAACCCCTCCACGACCACGACGATGTTGGAAGGGGGCTGGCAGGCAATCTGCGGCACGCGGGTGTGCAGGAGTAGGGGACGGCAGCGGCAGGACTCCGGTCGAGGGTATTCAGCTGCCGCAAACCGCGCCAGCAATGCACAGGGAGGGCGGCTGGCGGTGTTGAGAGTGCACGCCGCCTCACCTGTCGGTAGCGCACCGCTATCTCGCCCTGGCTCACCGGCGCCAGGCGGCTGAGGGCCAGCAGCGGCAGCGCAACCAGGTCGCCTGCACCCGAGAAGTGCAGGAGGCACCGGGTCCAAGGTTTGCCCATGTTGGGAGCAGACACGCCACCGCGCGCGCCGCCGGCACTGCTTTGGTCACCCCCTACCTCTGCAGCCTGGGCATGCATCCATGACGGTCACATTGATGCTGGCAGTGCCTCCGCTGGCGCTGACGAAGCAGCCTGCCGCCTGCATCAGGAGCGGCAGAGTGAGTCCAGACGGCTCCCCCGCGGGCACCTCAGCACCAGGCTTGTCTTCCCCGCCGCCAACACCCCTCCCCTTGCCCCCCCCCCCACCATACACACACACACACACATCGCACCTGGGAAGACACGGAGTCGTTGCCGCACTGCACTTCGAAGCAGGCGCCGCAGCCTGCCATGGTGAGGCAATGCACAAAGGGGTTGGCTGGGCCCAAGGCCAGGCTGGGCGCAAAGGCCCGCGTGCCGCTACCGCTGCCGGCGGTGTCGAGGCCGCACGAGCCAAGCTCCACAGCAGCCTGTGCTGAGTCCTGCGCTAGCAGAGGGGTGTAGGGAAGTTGACACTGCCAGCGCCGAGGCCCTCAGATGCCAGACCGGCTGCATGTGGCAGGCAGCCTGCTATCCGAGGCGCCGCCGCAAGGCTCCCGCCCCCGCTCCCGCCTGCCAGGTGCCGCCGGCTCAACCCCCTGCCCCCTCCACCACTGGCTTTGAAGGCAGTATCCTGCCATGCTCCAGCAGCTCACCTGGGAGCCAAAGCTCGAGAAATGGCCGACGGCTGACCCCTGAACCCAGCCGCTCAGGAGGGGAGGGCCGCTGGCAATGCCAGCAGGTGCCTGGCCCGCTGGCTGGGCTTGGGCAGTCAGCAGCAGCCAGGAGACAGCCCCGACGGCTGCCAGCAGCCGCACTCCACTGAGGGCTAATAGCATAGCTGCGATTGGGGGGCTGGGGCTGATCAGCCTGCAGATCATGAGAAAGAGGCAGGCAAGAGATTAGAGCACAAGCAGGGACTTTCACCATTTTTTCCTTCTTTCCACTTTGCATGTGCTTTCAGCGGAGCCACAGGCGAGTCACCGACACACCACAGCTTCGCCATGAGCGCCCCAGGCGGCGTAGAAGAGCTGCAGCGGCAGGTGCTTGCTCGGGTGGCTGCTGGCAGGCTCACCGTCGGGCAGGGGCTTGTCTTTCTGCTGCAGCACCCTGCGATCCACCAGATTGCGGCTACAGCAGAGCAGCAGCAGCACGGACGCCTGGCGCGCACGCCGTCGGCAGCATCCAGCAACGGCAGCATTGGAAGGATAGCCTATGCAAAGCTGCGCATTGCGTTGGCAGCACAGTTCGCCCTGGCTGAGGAGATGGGGCGCAGCCAAGGCGGCTTGGATGCCACCACTGCAGCCACAGCCGCTGCAACGGCCCGCTTTGCGATGGACGAGAGCCTTGAGGCAGCTTTGTTTGTTGCTCTGGGTGGGCAAGAAGCAGCATGGTCCCCTGTGCTTCTGCACATGGCAGCACGTCTGCTGAGAATGATGGCCGGCGACCCGTTCACCAGGAGTGTGCGGCAGCAAGTGGTTGCAAACCTGCGCTTCCAGCTATCACTGCGGCCGCCATTAGATTGGTTGCCAATGCTTGCAGAGATGCCGCGCAGCGCCGACGTCAGGTCAGTGCCACTATGGCCATCCTCGGGGTAAAGCTGCAGCATGCACAGGTACTCCAGCTCCACAACATTTGGCCGCCCACAGTTTTCGATGTGCCATACATGCTGGCTGCCTCCTCTGCTTTTTGCTTTCAGGTGGCCAACCGACCCGCCGCCAGAGGCAGCCACCTCGGAACAAGCTGCGGCTGCCTACCGCCACGACGCCCTTGCCCTTCTCGCGGATGTCTTGAGCAAGCACGATCAGCTGGAGGCGGCGGCGCAGCAAAGGCAGCTATCTGACACAGCTGTGCTGAGTGCACGTCTGAAGCAGCTCAGTTGCCTGGTCCCCCACAGCTGGTTCCACACGCTGAGGGTGAGTAGGGGCTGCCATCTATCCCGAGCCTCAAAAGTTCTTCCCTTTAACAAAATTCTGCTGTTTGAGTTTCTAGCATGCAACGTGTGCTGCTGCAGGCAACGACGCCGAGATTGGACTTTTCAAGCGCTCATGCGGCTCTCGCTGCCAGGCAGGCAGCCTGCAGCAGCTGGCAGCATAAAATGCAGCAGGTGTGTGGCAGATGTCGTGCCAAGCCGCCAGTCAAGTGAATGCTCCCTTCTGGTGCTTGCACTCATGCCTGCCCTTGAGCTGCTTCCGCAATTCGTAACCAAAACATGGACCGTGTGGCGCAGATTAGTGATGGCTTGTCTGCGATCATGGCAGCCGCTGCCGAGCCGGCCGCTGCGAGCGACACTCAGGTGAGGAGTGGGCGCTGCTGACGATGCCCTTGCTCCCCGTTGATAATGCTGACTATGGTGCACCTTTGCCTTTCTTCCAGTTCTTGCATGAGCATGACCAACAGCGGATCCGGCAGCAGCAGCTGGAGGCGTTGCTGGCAGCCACCAGCTTCCCAGTCGCCCGCCTGCGGCAAATGCTGCAGCATCTTGTCGAGGAGCTACGCATTCCTGCCACTCTGGTGAGAGTTCAGCCAGGCAGGCTGCCAGCCTGACAGTGGCGGGCTGCTGGCAGTGTGCCTGTGTGCGTGGTGCCTGCCTCCTTGCCGCCACTGGTTGTCCTCCTGTCCTCATGCTGTTTCTTGCTGTGTCCCATTTCTGCCAGGCCTTTCTTGTCGATCCGATCCTGCTTATCAGCAGCATCGGCACATTCGGGGAGCCTCCGTCCAGCTTCAGCCGGAGCGACACAGCTGGGGATACAAGCGGCAGCAGCAGCAGCAGCAGCAGCAGCAGCAGCACCTGGGTACTGCAGGCACAGCAGTACGAGATTTATAAATTTGATGTCAGCAGACAAGTCGTCTCTAACTCCACAGTCCTGTATGCTGACAGCCTGGCAGAGTTTGAGGCACAAGCCAGGCTGCTCTTCAGGCCAGGGCAGTTGAGCTCTCTGGTAAGCATGCGTCAGTATGCTGCTGCCTGTGCACTGCAGCTGCTGCTGCTGCGGCGGTGGTTGCGGTGGCGGCAGCCATGCACGTTTCCAGGCGTTGCATGCAATTGAGAGCCATGCGCGTGTGGCCAGGGCAAGCTGGAGCCCTTCCTTCCTCCCTGTACTGCAGTATAAGCAGCTGGTGACTGAGACAGAGGCCCAGACGGATGGCGTGCTGGGCCTGCTGCGCAGCGTAGGGGCGCTGCCGGACACGCTTCCTGACGTGCAGGTAGTGTCTACAGGGCTTCAGGTCCGCCCCATGCCCCCACGCGTGCCCCATGCGTGGGGGCGCTGCATAACACTAATGCATTGTGACTGCAGAGCTTTGCTGACCTGGCAGTCGTGAGTGACCTGCCGGAGCTTGAGCTGATACAGGACGACTTGATGCGGCCTTGCCGTGGCGCCATGTCGCAGGTAAACCGCCTGCCTTTGCAGCGGCATAGCTGACCGGCTCAGCGCCAATCCAAGCCAATTCCTTCGGGAACGCCTAATAGAATCGCCAAGGCTTCGGCACAGGCCTCCCCGGGACCCATTCACTACTAGTGGGGGGTACTGCACTTGGCGTGTCGGGCAGATCAAATAATGGTCTAAATCATTACTAGCCTACAAAGCTTCATTCAGCACACAGACCGGCCGCCTCTTGCTCGAGGGCGGCCCACTTTGGCCTGGGCAGCCCGGGCCGCCCTCCCCCCCCCGGGCGCATGTTCGGTGTTGGAGGGGTGTGCCCAGCGATAGGGGGCCCCTGAAGGCATGCGCCGAGGCCGGGAAGCGTGGTTCGGCGCTGCTGCACGCTTGGCGATTTGAACAGAACCACGTGCCGCCGAGCTGCGGCCGCAGTTTCCGGCCCACGGTCTACGGTCGCAAGCCACGGGACTCGGCGGCACGGCGTTTGGCCCCAAGCTTGCTGCCGCCGCCGCCGCCGCCGTGCCCGGGGGGCAGCGCGGCGGCGGCGGCACGCTGCGACGCCCCCGTGCTGCCGAGCTGCGGCCGTAGTTTCCTGCCAGAAGGCCACAGCCACGGGACTCGGCGGCACGGCGTTTCGGTCCACGGCTTGCTGCCGCCGCCGTCGCAGGGGTGCTGCCTGCGGCGGCGGCGGCACGGCGTTTGGGTCCACGGCTTGCTGCCGCTGCCGCCGCCGCAGGGGTGCTGCCTGCGGCGGCGGCGGTAGCGCACGTGGCAACCCCCCGCGTTTCCTTGCCTCCCATCCACCGGACCCCGTCCTGCGCTTCACTTTGTTTAGGGAGGGGCTGCTCACTGCTCATTGCTCATTGCTCATCGCACACTGCTCAACGCTCATTGCCCTATATCCCACCCAGCCGCAGGACTCCACTGCCGCCCGCGCCCCGCCCCATCTGGCCGCTTGCGCGCCCCATCCCCCCTCGATGGGGCCCACCCACACCGGGGCCTCGCCCCCTCCCGCCCACTGCTTTCTCAACGGCCCCGAGCCGGGGCTGCCCTCATTGCATACATAGTGCGCCTTTCCCTGCTTTTCTAGTGACCTAGCGTTCCGCACTGCCGTTTGGCCAGCCCATGCTCCCGTACCGTTGCGTTTCTCCCCAATGCGCCATGCCACTTTGCCAGTCATACACACGTTTCGATGCGTGCCCTGTCAGCTGCTTGCGTTGCATGTCGCCTTGCTCCACCCCTGTTTTATTGCTTTCTCTGCTTTCGCCCGGTTCCCGTCCCGTTTCGGCGGGGAGTCTATGTTGCAAGCTAGTTCTTGCTTTACCAGACTTTAAGCCCACACAAGCTAAAGCTAGACGTTAAAACCGGGAAGTTAAGCCTGTGGAGGCTCTTCCCCACCTTTACCTTTACCTTTTTGACAACTCACCTTGACAACTCACCTAAGACTTCTTCTGCCTGCCTGCCCGCCTGAGGTGGTGCAGGAGGAGTCAGTCCTGCGCGTCGATCGTTACCTGCGTCAGTTCCAGCAATCTGGCTGCGCAGCTGCCAGCATTGCTGATGTCGCAAAGTTCTGCGGTATTGGTCCTCTCAAGGGCACGTGGCCACCAGTAGACGATGCGGATGCCAGCGTGCGTATGGGAATTGCTCGCGCGCAGGGTGGCCCCGCTGGGTCTCAAACGGTCGCCAATCAGCCAATGCCTTTGCGGTGCAGGGTTGGGCTGCCTTGGACCTCGGCTGGTTACGTGGCAGGGCCCTGCTGCGCCTGCTAGTGCTTGGCACACATGACAGGAGCCTGCTGGGACCGATTGCCGTGGCTATCAGAGGGCGTGGCCTTGACAGCCTGAGGCAGCTGCTGGTTATGGAGGTGCGCTGTGCTGCAGTGCCCTCAGTCATTTTGATTTGAGCACAAATCCACAAGCTCCCCCCCTGCGCTGGTGACCTTGCAGGAGCCTGAGCTTGCTGAAACTGTGTTGGAGATGGTGCGGGCAGCCAGGGCAGCCCAGAAGCAAAGCATGCTTGACACGCGGCTGCTGCGGCAGCTTCTGCATGTCCTGGGCGATGTGGTGCCGAGGCCTCCCCTGCCTGCCCAGGACGCGGCTGATGATGATGCCAAGGTGATGAGCGGCTCTCAATCAGTGTCTGTTTGGCTTCTCCACCCCTCATGTGCCAGTTTCAGTTTCACCACCTGGCTCCCCCGGACGTGTCTGCAGGTCGTGCAGTTAAAGCTGCAGTTGTGCCACGAGCTGCGCCTCATGATCAACTGCCTGAGCCGGCGGCAGCTGCTGACCAGGGAGGCGCTGTACTGCATGGTGGTAGACGTGTCGCGGCACGTTGGCGGGGAGGAAGCTGAGCAGGCGCTGTTCATGCTTCGCTCCGGGGAAAAGGGTACGCAGGAGAGGCATGGCTGCCAGACCTCCAATGCATCTTTTCAACTTGGAAGCGCCAATTCTGAGCACAGTTTGTTTTGTGCCTTCAGGCGTCCCGGGCGCTGCTGGCGTGCTGGGCTCCATGGGGTGCATGCCGCTGCCGTCCTTGGAGCGCTTGCACTGCTTTGTGTGCTGGCTGCTGGGGATTGGGATTGGCGGCGTGGAGGAGCTGGGCCCGCAGTACGAGGTGAGCGAGGGTGGTGCTGCATGGGCGCGCAGAGGAGCGCTGGCATGTGGCCTGCAGTTGCGTTGGGTTGCTTCCATCACACGTTCCACAGCTGCAGCAACGTCTCCTCCTGCACTTCCTTTGTTCAGGACGCCCTGTGTTCTTTGCATGAGGTGCTGCTGCTGCCAAGTGGAGGTGCTGGGATGATCCAGCTTGCGCCGGCCGGGCTCGATGCTGCGCTGCATGCTATGAAGGTGTCGCAACAGGTGAAACCCGCAGATTGCCCCATCAAATCCTGTGCGGGCTGGGAAGCATCCTGGTCCCGACGCATCCCGACCCCACAGCGCATAGCATCCTTTCTGATCACCGCCGTGTTTCTGCATGGGATTTGCCTGTCTGCAGGTGGACTCAAGCAGCAAAGCGCATGTGCAGACCAACACCATCTGTGGCCTCTGCTTTGAGGCAGCAGAGGGCACGGCCACAGCCAACCAGGCGATGCAGGCCTTGCTTTCGCTGGCAGAACCGCCAGCAAAATCTCGGGTGCAAAGCCGCGTAAGCAGCTTTCCTGCTGGGCTGTACGGCAGCCAGTTAAGCGACAGGTGAGCAGCCGCCAGGCTACCCCCATCACTTGCGATATTTGGTGGTTTGCAGTGCTGCCTGCATGCACCGCACCTCATGGGAGTTGGGAAGAACTTTGAATTGTTTTCGATGTGTGTCTTGTAGCGACAGACAGAGAGTGGTGGAAGTTATGGAGGCTCAAGCATACTTGGCTCAGGCGCTGCCCCCGCTGCTTTTGGTGGTAGGCATCGCTGACCAGCAATGTTTATAGCATTGCATGTCCCCCGCCTCACTCGCCTCCCATGCTCACTGCTGCTGCCATCTGCTGCAGGGCGAACTGCTGTCGTGGGGTGCGATGGTGGTGCGAAAGGAGGAGGACGAAGCAGCACCAGTCATCCGCGTTCTGGCCGGCTTGGTGCAGCGGCAGGACCTGGTGAGCACCACATGACAGCTATGCACACATGTTGGGAAGAGGGCTGTCTATTCATGCTGTCAGCCCGTCCCTGCCAGCCCGCTTTATAGTGTGTGCATCTGAGCTGCAGGGTATGCTAGAGTTGAGTGAGCGCGGCGCAGAGGCTGTGATCGGCACCCGTCGGCCTGGCAGGCCTAAGCTGCTAAGGATCCCCACGTCCCCCACCACGTTGTGGGGGTTGCGTGTCCGGCAGGACGGGGAGCGGGGCCAGGGTGGGGTGACCCTGGGACGCTCAGCTGGGGGGAGGGTGGTCGGAGCCATGGAGAGGGTGCTCCATGGTCCACCCCCTCTCTTGATGCCCCTTGATCACGTGTGCCCCCTGCCCAAGGTCTGCTCACGCGGCCTATCATAGCGGGGCGACTGTAACACAGGGTTTGATGGATACGCTGGGGCCGCTCCTGCAAGGTGTGCACCCTCTGACGCATTCAACCGCATATAACAAACAAGCATTCAGCGGAAGGCCGTCTTTGTCTGCCTGGCACCTGCGGCCTGCAGGGATTGCGGCGACTGACAGACTCGGGGATGGAGTAGCGTGGATGCACCTGTTGGTGTGCCAAATGCTCTTTCTGTATCTGACTACCAGACAGGGGTGAGCATCTGTGCTGTGTGCCTAAAGCTGGTCGCTGCCGGCTGTCCGCTGACACGCAGCCCATGAGTTGCTGCCCTGAAGGCGGTGCACACCTACGCAGCAAGAAACCATCGAGCAACAACTCACCAAGCTTCGGGAGGGCACAGCTGAGGTCCCTGCAGAGACAATGCAGAAGCGCAAGGGTGAGCGGGATGGACATGGAGAAGCTCAAGCTCTTTTTGCCAAGGCCCTCATAGCTGACCTGGTTTCCATGCGCTGCCCCATGCAGATGTGCTGGAAATGCAGGCCCGGTACCAGCAAGAAGTCCAGCGGTGGAGTGGCGCTGTCAGGGACTACCTGCAATGGCTGCAGCTGCCGGTGCAAGATCAACGGTGGGTGACCTGGCGGCTGCATCAGGCTGGCTGGAAACACCAGCTCAGGCCCACTGGTGTGCGGCTGCCCTCTGGCTCGCATGCGTGCAGTCGGGAGCAGCCAGATGTAGCAGAGGTCGTGCGCACACGGCGGGCGGTGATTGACGGGATGGATGCCGTGATTGAGTACTGCCGGCGTTCTCGGTCCGAGGCGGCTGTCTGCCTGACTGGGATGGCAGATGCCTGCTACCTCCATGCGCGCCGTCAGCTGGCGTGAGTGGGGCTGCCCGCATGCTGCTTCGATTTCTACCGGCTGGCAGACGCTGCAGGTTGCTGCGCCTCGTGCGACTCGCAGCGTGAGCGTTGGCTACATGCGGGGAGTCATGCCCGATACCCTCCCATGCCATGGCCCCGTGTGTGCCTGCAGGGAGTGGCGGCAGACCTACTGCACGGTATATCCACAGCTGCGCTTGGCGGAGCTGATGATTGCACACATCCTGCCCTTGAAGTGGAGCGCAGAGTTCTGCGCAGGTGATGGGCTGCAGCCACCTTGCATGATGGGAGTGTGCTCATCCCTGTGCGTGAGCCAGCCAGCGGCATCTGATGTGCCCGCTTCACGATTGCAGATGAGGGAGGTGGCGCCGGGGAGCGCCAGGCACAGCAGGCAGAGGAGCGGCGGCAGCTGGGCGCGGAAATGCAGGGACGGGCTGCTGCGGATGCTGGCGCAGCCCAGCCGGGCAGGCAGCACCCCGGAGCTCAGCGGGATCAGGCGCCCCACGGCAAGAAGGCCTCCAAGAAGCAGCGGCAGGCGGCGCCCAAGCCGCTGCCGCTGGATGAAGAGAGTCGTAAGGCTGCCGATGCAGCCGCACAGGCAGCGGCAGCTGAGCTGGTGGCCCTGGAGGAGGCGCAACAGGCAGCGCTGGCCAAAAAGGTGGGGGCGCCCTTGTGTCGATGGCCTGAATGGAGGCAGGGTGGGTGCCCATGCACCCCAGTCTCTCGCTCAAGCATGCCATCCTGCACCATTGCACCGCCTGATGGCACGCCTACCTGCCTATGCCTCGCATGCAGGACGAGAAGCGCAAGGCCAAGAAGGAGCGGCAGAAGGCGGCCAGGATGGGCGCCGTGGCTGCTGCTGCTGGCGAGGAAGGCAGTGCTGGGGCCGCGGCTGAGGCTGCTGCCAAGCGGGCAGCTCAGGACGCGCAGGCTGGCGGCAGGGAAGAAGCAGTGACAGGAGATGAGGCGGCAGAGGCTGTGAGTGAGGTAGCAGAGCCAGAGCAGCAGGGCATGCAGCCTAGCACTGTGGATGCAGAGCAGGCTGCTGAGCAGCTCGGCGGTGCCGCTGCCGGCCAATCAGTGCAGGCAGAGACCGCGCGGCCGCGTGCCGCTGAGCAGCCTTCTGTGGCAGCAGTCTCCCGCTACGCTGTGCTGGAGCAGGATGAGGAGCAGCAGGCCGGAGGCGGTGATGAGCTGGCACCAGCTGGCAGACCCCAGCGCCGCAGCAAGGGGAGCAGGAAGAAGGCGGCGAGGGACAGCAGCGCCGAAGCGCACGTCCGCTCACCATCCGTCAGTGCCGCCACGGTTCCCGAACCTGCACCACATCAAGTTGCTGCTGAGGAGGAGGAGGCAGCCGAGGTGGCGGCTCCGCCTGCTTCTGCAGCAGCAGACTCCTGGACAGATGCCGGCTATTGGGAGCCTGTGCCGCGAGAGCTTCTGAGGGAGACGGTCTGGGAGGAGAAGGTGGGCGGCAAGAAGAAAGGTGCAGCAGGTGTTCAGCACAGCCAGCCACCCGAGCAGACTCCCGGCGGCAGCGGCAGCTTCGCCGCGCCAGCAGCGCCACCCAGCGAGGGGCCAGGTGCTGCCCGCGTCAGTCGCCAGGCCCCCGCTCCGGGCTCCTATAGCGGCCTGCCATCGCCCGGCATGTCAGGCCCTGCACCCGCCTCGGCTGCATCGGCACCGGCCCATGCCATGCGCAGCGGCAGCAGGGAGCGCACAGAGCCTCAGGCCGTGGCAGGTGCAACACTCCCATTCAGCTACAGCGCAGCGACTCGCCACTCTGCAGCCAGGGCCAGAGGTGGCCCGCCGGACCCTGGCCCAGGCAGCGCGCAGCAGGGCAGCAGGCAGCAGCCAGCCAAGCAGCCTGCCAAGCCTGCTGCATCATCTTCCTCACCATCTGCCTCCGCTGCCTCGCCATCCATCCAGCACGGCGACAGCCCAGCCCCTCTGGACAGGGCAGCCAGCAGCAGCAGCAGCACCAGCTGGCCGGCAGCTGCCGCGCCTGCCGCATCCACGCCGCCTGCTGATGTGGCTGCTAGTGTGGATGACACCGATTTTGAGAGCCTCCTGCTGAGTGAGCTGGCATGAGCTGGCGGGGGCCGCGCTTGCCGCACATGATGCACGTGTCAGGCTGTGATGCAGAAATGGGAACGTGGGATAGCTGGGATATGGCCTGCTCGCTCCACCTGCCTGTCGTTACTTCTTCGTACTTCTTCCCCGCCTGCAGCCCTGGGCGTTTCGGCGGCAAGCGCCGAGGGAAGCAGCAGCAGCGCCTGGGGCGGTGCACCAATGCTGGCGCCCACCCCGGCGCTGCAGCCAGTGGCTGATGCCGCCTACAACCACAGCATGCATGTCAGCGACGGCGGCAGCCTGCCGCAGCCCATCTTTGATCCCTCTTCACTCTTCCTGGGGCAGGTGGCAGGGCCATTTGCTGGCCTGCCGGGCCTGCCATACCCCGTGCAGGGCGGCCAGCAACCCCTGCCTCCCCCTGAAGCCCTGATGCCGCCCCCTTGGCAGCAGCAGCCCACGGGACCAACGCTGCCGCCTGAGCTGGCAGCCCCAGCCCCAGCCCCGGCTCCACAGCAGCAGGCACGGGGCCCCGAGCTGCCTCCCGCGGGGCAGCAGCAGGCCGCGGGCGGCGAGCTGTGCCTGCCGGGCCTGCGCAACGAGGCCGGCGAGTACAACTGCTTCCTCAACGTCATACTGCAGTGCCTGTGGCACTGCCGCGACTTCCGCCAGCAGGTGAGGGAGGCGGCTGGCATGGGCGGCCTCGACTTGATATGGCCGCCATCCTGGCACAGGAGCCGAGCCGGGCTCGCTGCTGTGGGATACCTTCTTCCACTGCGCTTCTCTGCCTCATCCACCGAGCTTCCCTGCATGGCCTTGCCTTCAGCTGATCCTCATCCTGGCTGGTGCAGGTGCTGAGCTGGCCGCCTGAGCTTGTGGCGGCAGACGCCGTGGTGGGCGCCCTGCACGGCCTGATGGCAGAGCTGCAGCAGCACCAGGCGGCAGCCGCCGGGGCGGAGGGCAGCCAGCAGGAGGGCGACCGCGGCAGCGTGGTGGACCCGTCCCGCCTGCGCGCCGCACTGGCCGACGTCCCCGGCAGCGCCTTTGGCCAGGGTGAGCGAGGCTCGCCTGCCTGACCGCCCACCTGTGCTGCGCAGCGGCAGCGATGGTTTGGTGGTTGGGGCATAGGGTGGGCATGTGGCTGGCCATCCCATGGCGCACCCACGCGCGCCCGCGCTGCGCACCTGCCTGCAGGCGAGATGAGCGATGCGGGGGAGGTGCTGCTGACGGTGTACGAGTGCATTCTGGCGGCGGAGAAGGCGGTGGGGGTGCCCCCGCACCGCTCCTCCGTGGAGGCCACCTTTGGGCTGCACCTGAGGGAGTGGGTGTGGTGCGGCGACTGCCAGCTGGCCACGCACCACCACAGCTTCATGCAGTGCTTCTATGACACACAGGCAAGCGGGGTGGGGCGGTACGGGGTGGTACAGGACGGGACGGGCTTTGTGCTGGGTGACGCCCTGGTGGCCCCAGTGTGCTGCCTGTTGAGACGTGAATGAGGCGGTGCCTTGGAGCTGCTGCTTCCGCCACCCTGCTCACCTGTGCCGTGCCTCTCTCGAGGCTTGCCTGGCTGCAGGCTGCCGCGCTGCGCTCCTGCATGGCTCGCCTGATCAAGCAGCGCAGCCGGGGCGTCATCCAGCCCCGCAGCTTTGGCGGCGTGCTGGGCGAGCTGGCCAAGCAGGTGGGTGGGGTGATGCCGGAGGTGGGAGGGGCAGCAGACTGAAGGGGCTTGGTTACAACCGAGTCATGAAATTGTGTTTACTGTGTAGGCCTGACCCTCGAATCCGCCGCTCCAAGCACCACACGTGTCCACTGTGCCGCCCTTCCTCCCCCCTGCAGTTCAAGACGTGTGACAGCGACATTGGCGGCTGCGACAAGCGGCAGCCTGTGCGGCGGGTGGTGGAGGCGCCGCTGCCTCGCATCTTCACCCTGCAGATTGCCTGGCAGTCGCACCGCGAGACGCCGCACAACATCGCCGAAACCATGGGGGCGGTGCAGGAGCAGGTGGGCGGCCCAGCGGCAGAGCAGGCTGGGCCGGCGCTCCAACTCATGACCCCCCCGATCCAACACTCCCAAACTCCACCCGCGATTGGGAAACGCCCAGCCCGCCTTCTCCCTGCCCCCCTGCAGCTCTGGCTGCGCGACCTGTTCCGCGACAGCGAGCAGGCGGAGGCGGCTGAGGTGGCGGGGACGCGGTACCGCCTGGCCTCCATGGTCTGCTACTACGGCCGCCACTACTTTGCTTTCCTGCTGCTGCCCGCCAGCGGGGGCTGGGTCATGATGGACGACGCAGCCAGCACGGTGGTGGGGGGCTGGCCCCAGGTGCTGCACAGGTGCGAGGCGGGGCGCATACAGCCCAGCCTGCTCTTCTACGAGGCGGCGCCGGCGCCGGCGCCCGCCTGAGCGGGGGTGCTGCTGCCTGAAGGGAGGCCTGCTCCCAGGGGCGGCTCACGGCAGCAGCATGCCATCATATGTTAGCGCCACAGGACCTGTAATGCGTGTGTTAAGCTTGGAAGCCTTGCCCTGCAATGTGGCGTGCCGAGGAGGGTAGCGGGCGCTGCACTGCGCTGCGGCCCGCCTGTCGGCATGATGCATCTTGCTCTTTGCTGCAAACCCAGCATCGTTACACTCGTAGAAACTCCAACCGAGCAGGGTGTTTGCTCGCGTTCATCAGACCAGTTGCCGCGTGACGGGCGCTCTTCGTGTCCTCGCGTCGTCCGCAGTCCGCAGGCAAGGGGCGGAAGCGGAGCAGGGTGGGAGTGCACCCCGAGCGACGCACAGCGTGGGAGCAACAGACCGTGACGCCAGCCGCGGCGGCATTCTCGGCCGCCATGGACGGCGCCCAGCCAACCTGCCCGCTGGCGAGTATTGAGCAGACCAATCATTCTGGATGCCCAACAGGGCGCTGCACTGGGCTACGCCCTTTGGTGCCTCAGGAATGCAACAAAACTTTGAGTCCTCGCCCGCCTGCAGTATGCGGTCCATGGCGGCGGCGCGCAGACGATGGCCGAGTGGTATGCACGCCAAGGGTACGATGCCGGCAAATACAAGTGCCTCCTGTGCCCCTTGTGAGTCTCCTCCCTCTCCCACCAGGGGCGTTGTTCACAGGGGCAGCATGTGCATACGCCTGACGGCATGATGCCCACCGTCCTGCCCCGCCCCAGAGCATGGGCGGCATGGTCTTAGTGCAGATGTGGTCCACCCTGCTGCTTGGTCAACACAGGGGCTCCCTGCCTGCCTGCAGGTCAGCACAGAACGCCTGCGTGCACTCCACCCACTCCTCCGCCTGCTTCTACGCCCACACCGCCTTGGAGCTGCGGCACGACGTGTCGACTTGGGCGGACCGCTGGCGGCTGCAGCAGACGGGTGCGCCGGCGCTTCGATCACTCGCCGCCAGCCGAGGTGCTGCTGTTGTGCAGCAACTGACTCTTGCATCCACCCCGTCTGCTCCCCCAGTTCGCGTTATTCACGAGCTGCCTGAAGGGTCCACCTGGGCCGACATGGAGCACCGCACGCAGCCCTGCATCGAGTTTTTGCAAACAGGCACGTGCCCCGCCGGTCACGGCTGCCGGCGCGCTCATTCGCTTGCCCAGCTGCAGCCGCGCCCCGTGCCCGCCCCGCAACTGCGCGCCGCGCTGGAGCAGCAGGGCTGGGCGCTGCCGCCGGCACTTGGTGAGCTCGGGGAGCAGCAGCAGGAGCTGCCGCTGCCGTTGCCCGCAGCGCAGCAGTACGGGGCCTGGCAGGCGGCGTGTGAGGTCAGCGCCACGGCGGCAATGGCAGCAGATGCTGGCAGGCGGGCTCTTGCCCTTGCCGCCAAGCACCCTGCGCACCCTGCACCCGCCAGCGGCAGCCCGGCCGCTGGCGCCAAGCGCGAGGCGGCCCAGGAGCCCGCAGGCCTGGCAACAACACCCAAGCGCCAGCGCAGCGACGGTCTGGGCTGCGCCCTGGCTCACCCGGCGGCGCAGTGCAACGGGGCAGCAGCAGAAACGGCACCTCCAGCTGCGTCTGATGCGGCCCAGGCGGCGCCTGTCGAGCCTTCAGGCACCCGGCAGAGCTCTCCCGGCACCCGTGAGGGCCACAGCACAAGGGAGGACGGCCAGCAGCTGCCGCAGCAGCCGCCGCAGCCGCCACAGGAGCATGGCAGTGCCCAGCAGCCGGCTTCACCACTGAAGCAAGGCGCGCAGCCGGCGTCACCACGGCAGCCACCATCGCCCTCGCTGGTCGGCCGGGTGTCCAACCTGGAGGCCAGGCTGGGGTTGGCTCATTCGGAGCTGCAGCAGCGCGGCGAGGCGCTACTGAACTTGCAGCAGGATCTGCAGGCAAGCTGGGGGCATGTCAGGCGCCACGTCATGCTGCATGCACTGCCGCCTGTGCATGCATGAAATGGGTGGGTCACACAAGCGCGAGCCCCCCCCCCCCCCTGAGTGTCCTCCCACATGTGCTGGCGGGCTGGTGGCGGGGCTGCAGGCGGCGCAGGCGGCGCGCGGGCGCCTGCAGGCTGAGCTGGTGGCGCTCAAGGAGCAGCACGCCGTGCTGCAGGGCGACTACGATGCCAAGGACAGGGACTGGGCGGAGCTGCAGGGCAGGTGGGTGGGCTGTGGTGGTGGGGAAGGCGGGCTGGCAGTGCGGTAGGTGCCCCGATGCCAAGGATGGCTGGCAGGGTCGTGCCCAGCAGTCCAGCACTGGGCCTGGGCCTCTGGCTGCTGCCGTTCATCTGGGCCACTGCCCAGCTGCCGCCGCAGGACGCAGCAGGCGGAGGCGGCAGAGGCGGCCGCCGACGCGCGAGCAGCTGGCGCGGAGCGGGAGCGGGAGGCGGCGGCTCGCGAGGTGCAACGCATGCAGGCTCGGCTGCGGGTGGTGGAGGAGGCGACCCGGGCGGTGCAGGCAGGCGCGCGGCAGGCGCTGGGCGCCGCGGAGCCGAGCCGTCTGCGCGGGGAGCTGGCGCTTGCGCTGAAGGAGCAGGAAGCCCTGGAGCGGCAGGTGGCGCAGAGGGACGCGTCGCTGGCGGCCGCCGCCGGCGAGCTGGCTCGCCGAGAGGAGGAGGCGGAGCGGGCGCGGCGGGAGGCGGCCGCGGCGGCACAGCAGGCGCAGCAGGCGGTGCAGGAGCTGGAGACAGCGGCGCAGGAGGCGCGGCAGCTGGCGGCGGTGCGGGGCGAGGCGGTGGGGGTGCTGCAGGAGCAGCTGGCGACAGCCAACATGCGCTGCCAGCAGCTGGAGAGCAGCGCCGCCAGGCAACAGGCAGCAGCCGGCGTCCCAGCTGCTCCTGCGCCGGCAGCAGCCCTGTCGGCGCACCAGCAGCAGGTGCAGCAAGCCGCTTCGCCGGCCCCGCCGCCGGGCAGCATCGCGCTGGGGAGCAGCGGCAGCGGCGGCGGCGATGCGACCGGCAGCAACTTGGAGGGGCTGCAGCGGGAGGTGGCCAAGAGGGACAAGAAGCTCGCTCTCATGACGGCAGCGCTGAGGCGAGACACGGAGGTGGGTGGGAGTGGGTGAGGCGGGCCGCGGGTGTCAGCTCTGTGATTCCGAGCAGAGCGGCGGGGGAAAGATGGCACAGGAGGCAGCTTGCTGCAGGCCTTGTCCAGCGAGCAGCCTCGTGGGCAGCTCATCGATGCTGGCTGTGCACCTGTGCCTGCAGAAGCACAAGCGGCAGGTGGCGGAGCTGCAGGCGCAGCTGGCAGCGGCGACGGCGGCTGCCGGAAGGCCCAGCACTAGTGCGAGCACCCCGCAGGGGTCTGCCTTGCAGCAGGACAAGCGTCAGCACCCCGAAGTTGCGACCACCGGAGGAGTGGCGCCTCCACCCCAGCCGGCAGCGTGGCAAGAGCTGCAGGAGCCAGCGGGCGCCGCAGAGGCCGCCGCCACAGCTTCCCAGCAGGAGCAGGCCACGCTGCAGCAGCATGTTGCAAAGCTGGAGGCTGCAGCTGCAGGCGCCGTCGCTGTTCATCATCAAGGCAGCCAGCAAGTGGGGGCCCTGCTGGCAAAACTTGCCGCAGCTGACAGGGCTGCTGCCAGCGCAGAGGCAGCTGCCGCAGAGGCCTGCGGAGGTGCCGACAAGCTGACCCTTCAGCTTGCAGGTGCTTGTGTCACATGGTGTTGGGCGGCGTTGTTTGTGTGTTGATGCATGCGTGCATGAGCAGGAGGGGCGGGCAGTTGGTCCAGCGCTGTCAAAGCCTGCGCCACAGAGTCCTGCACATCCCGGTACTTTCCAGCTCCCCACCCTACCCAACCGTCCCGCCCATCCACATGCAGCCAAGGAGCAGGAGCTGCAGGAGGCACGGCGCGCGGCTGCCCCGGCGCAGCAGCAGGTGGAGGAGTTGGCGCGGCAGCTGGAGGCGCACACGGCGGCGGCGGAGGAGCAGCGGCAGTACGCGGAGACCGCCGAGGCCGATGCCGGCGAGCTGCGGCAGCGGCTGGCCAAAGCCGAGGAGCGGCTCAAGGCGAGGAGGGCGCTGCCTGGGGCAGCGCAGGGCGCCCTGTCTTCTTCTGCCGCTCTCGCCCCACACGCAGCCGGCAACGGCCTCCACTCACCTTGCACAAACGCTGCCTCCCTGGACATCTGCAGAACGCCAACGACGACAAAAAGTATCTGAGGGAGGAGCTGGCGGCGGCGAGGCGGGAGCTGGATGAGCTGGCGGTGCTGCGCGGCGCCCTCCCAGGGTGAGCGCCTACCTTGGGGCCGCTGGGATGATGCATGCATCGCACCGTGTTGTGCTCTGCAGCCTGCTGGCGGTTGCCTGCTTGCAGCCTCTGCTAATCCCAGCACGTTGTTTTCCCACTCAAGGCCTGTGCCGCCCGGCTTCGACCACCTGCCGCCCCTGCCGCCGTCCCCGCCGCCGCCGCCGCCACCGGCGCCCGGCTTGCCTGTGGGGTGGCTGCCGCCTGCGCTGTGGGACCATGTGGAGCATGTGGCGCGGGCAACGCGGGGGGCAGTGCTGCCAGAGCACTTTGAGAGGCCGCGAGTGCAGGAGCTGCTGCTGGTGAGCTGGCTGCATTGGCGGCCTGGAACATGGCGGCGGCCTTGCTGCACTGCTTTCGGCGGGGGCTCTCGCCGGATGCCCCCAGCGGTGCGATGCTGTGCTGGGCTGCCTCGCTGTGCAGAGCATGAGCGAGCCGCAGCAGCGCGGCTTCCTGGATCTGCTTGTCAGGGAGGGGGCCAGGCGGCCGGTGAGCGACCCTGTCCGGTTCATCGTAGCTTGGGCCCAGGACTTTCTGGCGTGAGCAGCCGGCCCCCTTGTGTTGACGGCGAGCGGCAGCGACGTGTGGCGGGAGCTGGGGAGCAGCCCTGACCCCCCACCCGTGTATGTTTGTGTGCATCATCAGGTTATCAAGTCAGGCTGCCCCATCAATAGGCAGAACTGTGCATGTCATGCGAGGTGATAGACACAGCAGCAGCCGAAAAGTTGGGGCGGGAGCGGGCATGCAGGGGGCCCCACCGTAGCTTCGGCGCCCTGGTGTTGCCCTGGCGTGCTGTTCTGGAAACCCCTTATTCCTGCAGGAAGGTGTAAGAATTGGGCTGCACCCGCGCATTGTGCCTGCTCCGCCTGCGGCGCCTTTGCGCCCGTTGACGTGGCGCCACCAGGCTACTTTTCGATCAGCGATCGATTGATCGTCGAACGCTGTCTCGCAGCAAAAATCATCAAATGAAAGTGCTGCTTGCATCACCGCCTACCGCTTCCTCCCATCGCCCTCGCCCGCTCCAGCTACAGGCGGGCACTGCCGGTGGGACTGGTCCAGCGTGGCGCAGCGCTGCGGATGCCTGCAGGCGCCGCCGCCTGACACGGCGAGTGGGCCTCCGCCCAGCCAGCGGCGGCGGCGGCGGTGGCGGCGACGGAGGTGGGGCTGAGGCACCCCTGTCCTTGGACGATGAGGCGTACAGTGAGGCTGCCAGGCGCATAGGCTTCCGCCTTTTCAGCAACCTCCACCCAGAAACACTGAAGCACGAGCCGGGCACGGTGTGGGGCGCGGCGGCGCTAGTGTGAGTCTCGTGCCCATGCCTGGGCAGCGAATCAAGTCACCAGCGTCTTGAACTGAGGGCCACTGACCGTGCCGCTTGCATGGTTGCAGCACGGGCACCACTGTCGGAGCTGGCATCCTTGCGCTGCCGGCGGTGACTGCGCCCTCCGGTTTCATCGCCTCCTCCGCGGCCCTCTCCGCCTTCTGCGCCTTCAGCATTCGTGAGCCTGGAACCATGGAGCTAGGTGGCGGGCGCTCCTGGCGCGCGCGGGTGTGGCGGGGGTGCTGTCAGGGCTGATGCCGCCGCACGGGGCTCCCTCTTTTGGCTCCCCGGCCTCCCCGCTTTGCAGTGACGGGGCTGCTGGTGGCAGAGGTCAACATCAACACTCTGTGCGAGCTTGGCGCTGGCAGAGGCGTGTCGCTCAGGTGTGTGGGACCAGGGTCAGGCCTGCCCACCGGTGCCCCTGCTCGCATGCTGTTCAGCGTGCCAACGGCCCTGCTGTGCCGCTCCCCCAGCGCTGCTCACTCGGTTGGCTTCGCTCCCCGCAGCTCCATGGCGCGTCGCACGCTGGGCGATGGCGGTGCCGCCGTCGTGTCGGCCACCTACCTCCTCATCCACTACGCTCTGCTGGTGGCATGTGAGTGGCGGTCCTGGGCATCCAGGCTGCACCTGCCGCTCCCTGCACGGGTGCACCGCAGATGTGCCTGCTGCGGCTGCACCACCTACGCCTCGTCACCCGCTGTGTCCTGCCTGCAGACATTTCCAAGGCGGGGGAAACCCTGGACAGGGTTGCTGGGCTGCCTGTGCCGCTGGGCGACGCCGCCTTTGGGGCGGCGGTAGGCGGCCTGTGCTTTGCCGCGCGCCCGGCCACGCTGAACCGCGTCAACACGTTCTTGGTCGGAGTGTTTGTGGCGAGCTTCCTGGTGCGTTCCACCTGCCTGGGGCCTGTGGAGTGCCCCGCCCCGGGTGTCCAGCTCCCTATTGCATATTGCGATGCCTGCCCCTGCCTGCCCCCTGCAGGGCCTGGTCAGCGTGGCGGCCGTGGACATGCGCCCGCAGCAGCTGGCTGTGGCCCACTGGGAGGCTGTTCCGGATGCGCTGCCTGTCGTGGCTCTGGCCTACGTCTATCAAAACGTCGTGCCCGTCATCACGGTGAGCATGCTCGCCCCCATGTTGTGCGTTGGCAGGGGTGCCAGGGTTTGGTCCGGACAGGCAAGCAGCATGGCTGGTGCGTGTGCTGAAGGCGGCATTTGGTTGGGGCTCTGCTTGTGTGCAGACCAGCTTGGAGGGGGATGTGGCCAAGATCAGGTGGGCTGGCAGGGGGCAGTGAAGGGCAAAGCTGCCAGCGGGGCGCAAACGACGCCAGGCCGCCGAGTGCTGCCCCTCCTGCCCCCCCCTCTGGCTCTGGCGCAGGCAGGCAGTGATTGTGGGCGTCGCCGTGCCTTGGTTGATGTTCGAGTGCTGGCTGGCCGCTGTGCTGGGCAGCGCTACCGCCAGCAGCAGCAGCATTGGAGGAGGGGGAGGGCCAGGGGACGCGGGGCTGGCGGCCGCAGCAGCAGGGGCCGCAGATGCAGCTGCAGCGGCGGCGGCGGCGGCGGCGGCGGCGGCTGACCCGCTGGCGCAGCTGCGGGATGCCGGGGGCCCGCTGGTCACGCCGCTCATCGACTCCTTCACCTTTTTGGCGGTGGCTACCTCGGCCATCGGCTTCATCCTGGGACTGTCAGACTTCATGGCAGATGCGCTGCAGGCGAGGCCATGAGCGCAGGGACTCGTTTCTGGGGCCGTTGGGGCTGATTGCTGAACTGGGGAACCTGTGTATACCTGGCTGCGACTGGCTGGCATGTGTCTGCTGCTTTGCGCAGCTCCCCACCGGCACCCGCCAGGCGCTGCCCTACCTGCTGGCTGTGATGCCGCCGCTGGCGTGTGCGATAGCTTTCCCAGGTGAGGATGTGGCGGTGCTGTGTTGTGCACCTGGTGCATCGCTGTCGCCCTCCTGTATGCGGGGGGTTACCCCCACCCCTGTCTTCCTCGCAGATGTGTTCTTTTCTGCCCTCGACTTTGCTGGCACCTACGGCGTGCTGACGCTGTTTGGGCTCATGTGAGGCTGCACTGCTTGTTGTGCAGCGCCAGCTGACAATGCTTCAACTGTGCTTTGTTGCTGTGAACCTGCCGTCATCAAATTTGTTATTTGAAGCGTTGCTTGTTTGCAGGCCTGTGGCGATGGTGTGGAGCGAAAGGTACAGTGGGACGACCCTGTCGCGCCTGCAGATCGTGCCTGGTGGTCGTCCAGTGCTGGTAGCGGTGGCGGCAACCGCGGGAGGAATCATCGGAAGGGAGCTGCTCCTCGCTCTGACTTGAGAATCCTTTGAATTGTTGAAGCTCTGTTGCATTGCTGAACTGTTTTTCATCATTACAGGCGTGTGTTCAGATTGTCCATTGATGCATCGTTCCGTACACGATTCTGTGAAGTCCCCCTATCAGCGCACACCAAAGCGCAGCCTATTCAGAGCCAGGACCCGAGGATCCCCTTCACCCCGCGGTGGGGCGTGAGTCTGCACCAGAGTTGTGTTGGGGGGGGGGGGGGGGGGGCATGGTCGTGACAGAAAGGCAGGACGAGTGGCACCTTATGGGCAGCAAGCTGTTGGCCCAACGGGCTGCGCACCTTGTTGCAGGATGATTCCTGATTGCAGCGGCTGTTTATATGGTAGGGGCACTGCCTGGGGCACACAAGGCTGCAAGGGGGACACGCATGCCGCCTTACCGACCCTGCATCTGTGGCTGGTTGGGGTGGGCAGCAGGTGCGGCGGCGCCAAGCAAGACATGGCCTCACCTGTCGCATGGGCGCAGCGCCAGCGTGCCGCCATAGTCATCCCACACGCAGTCGCTGAGGTGGGCGCGGCAGAACGCTCCCAGATTGCTCAATGCCTGCATCCAGCCCACCCGTCTCACGTGTCACAACCTCTTACTTCGGCAAAGCAGGACCTGGCGCATGGCAGCAGCAGCAGCAGAAGCAGCCCACCCACCTGCTCCTCCAGCTTGCCGCCGGTGCCAGTGATGCGCGACCGGAGGGCGTCCTGGAGCTGGCTGCAGGCAGGACAGCGGCAGGGGAAGGCTTGAAAGTGCAGAGGGCACCCCAGTAGGTGTGAGCACAAGCATGCTCTGTGGTTTGCACCAGCTTCTGTCTGGGAGTCGGGCAGGGGGTGCCGGCCGCCTGCTGCTCACCTGGCTTTTCGCCGATGTGTGGGACAGCCCGCCAGCAGGTCCAGCACGGCATGCTTCAGCCGCAGAAACCCCTCAGCACCTGCAGGCGTGGCAGGAGCAAAGAGTATGGTGGCAGGGAGGGGTTCATACGTACGGCGCCACCAACGTGCTGAGCTGGCATGTCGTGGCAGCGTGGCAGCATGCTGACCTGGCACAGCTTTGACCAGCAGGCTGTCGCCCTCCCCCTCCACGCTGAACAGGTGCTGCCGCTCTTTGACGAAGCGCTGGAAGGTGTGCGCCTCCCGCTCCCCCTCCCTGGCCAGGTACTCGGGCAGGCGCTTGCCGCACCGCAACTCGCTGAGCGCCAGCCTGCCGCGGCAGCCCAGCTGCTGGATGCACTCGCTCTCCAGCCGCCACGTGGGATCCTGCGCCAGCACAGGGCGGGCAGCGGCAGCAGGCACCAGTGTGCAGGCGGCAGCCGCCCCGTGTGCGTGGCCAGGTGCCCGGCAGAATGAGTGAGGGAGGCATGCGCTCGCCCCAGGACGGCACCCCTCACCCAGGACTGTAGCTTGGCCAGGGATGCAAGGCTGGACAGCTCTGCTCCTGCGCCACTGCGAGCATTGTGCCCGCTGCTCCGGCCCCGCTTCCCACCACTTCTGCCTCGGCTGTGGCTGCGCCTGCGACTGTGTGTGCGACGGCGCCGTCGCCGATGCGACCTATGCCCTGACCTCGCACTGCTCCTGCTCCTGCTGCGGCGATGGCGGTCGCTCCTGCTGCGGCTCCGGCTCCTGCTGCGGCTCCGGCTGCGGCTGCTCTTTCTCCGCCTTCCCCTACCCTGGCTCCTGCTCCTGCTGCTCCGGCTCCCGCTGCTGTGCCGCGTGCCTCGCTTGCTGCTGCCTGCTCGGCCCTCATCCGACCTCCGACCCCTCTGCTGGGACATCTCCTCTGCCCTGCCGCCCCCAGCGGCAGCACCCCTGAGCCATTGCTGAGCTGCGGCGGGGACCGGCGGCGGCGCAGAGCCACCCGAGTCGCGCTCGTGGCCCTGCTGCTGCTCCCCCGGCTGCCGCTGCTGCCGAAGAGTGCCCATGTCTGGTGTCAAGCGGCTGCCAGTAGCAGCAGGCGTGGAGCCGCCATCCAGCGGTGGAGCCTCCCGGAAGAGCGGCAGCACAGCCAGCAGGTGCCGCCGCTCGCAGCCCTCGCCGGCGTCCGCGTTCGCGGCAGCTGCGGCTGCTGCCTGCAGCTGCGCCAGCAGGGGCCGCCGGCCCTCCATCCCCTCCAGCTGAACTTCCAACATGCTCAGTGGCGCCACCAGCAGCTGCTGCTTGGGCTGCTCCACGCCGTGGCTGCCAACCAGGTAGCCACGTGACTTGGTCTACAGGCACCGGCGCAGCACACTCATCCCTGGTAACCGAGCACTGCACCTGGCTCCACGCGGAGATGAATCAGACAGGCAGACAAGCAGTTGCGGCAGGCAGGTAGGCAGGCAGGCGCACCCCTCGCCACCCCCGGCAGGTGCCTCACCTCCAGGCTCTCCACCATTACTTCGTGTGTGGCGGCAGCATCCACATTGTCTGCCTCATCGCACACGGAGCGCAGCAGGCAGCAGGGCGCGCCCAGCCCGCTCCACGCCTCAACCGCGGCCACCAGCTCTGTGTCCCCGCACTCGTCGCCATCCGTCAGCTGCAGGTCGAATCCGGGCGGCAGCAGAGCGCAGCCGCCTGCTGCACCATCTGGCCCCCACCAGGTGCCAACCTCGGGCACCGCCTCGCCATCCTCCAAGCGCACGCTGCCCCTCCAGGTGCTGCCAGCGGCGTAGCCGACAGCAGGCGGGTCACGCTGCTCTATCGCGTGCCGCGTGGCGGGGGCGCCGGTCAAGAGCAGAGGTGCAGCCCCAGCTGCTGCCAGCTGCTGGCCTGCTCGCGCCGATGCCGCTGCCCTGCTGCTAACCTCGCGCTGCTCGCAGGCGTCCTCAGCGGCGCCAATCAGCTCCGCGCCAGCTTCCGCGGCATCGACAGTTGGTGACTGGCTGGGGGCCTCCTGGCTGGCTGGGCCAACCACCTCGGTGGCAGGCAGGGACCCCTCCTGCTGCTGCTCCTCATCGCCTGCCCGCTCGGCAAGCCGATCCTGCTGCGGAGAGCGCGACGGTGCTGCCTCCACACAGCCATCAGGTCGGCCTGGCGCCGCCGAGGCCGGCGCCAGCGCCGTCCCGGAAGCGGCGGCCGCCGCCGCCGCCTCCAGTGCAGCATTTCGCTGCTTCCACATGGCATCCACCTTGGGCTTCACCAACGTAGACAACACCGGCGGCGACGGCGCCTCGAACCGAGGCGGCGCGTGGCTCTGCATGAAGGCAGGCGCCAGCACAAACAGAACTCTGAACACACGGCGACCACCGCTCTAAGGTGATGCCGCCAGGAGGATGGGTGTGTGCCATGGCCGCAAAGCATACCGCCCAATGTGTGTATCAGTGTGTGTATCACCGGCACCCGCTCCCAGCTCGTGGTTACGGCAAGAGCAGGGCGGCAGCTCATTCCGCCACTCACACATGGGCAGGTGGGCGAGGACTTGCACGAGAAGAAGCAGTGCTTGGCAAACTGCGGGGCTTGGGGGGCGCCAGCAGGGCTGCAGGCGGGAGGGCAGCGTTCGACCGGTGTGGCGCGCAGGTGTGCTGGCAGCCTGCCGAACAACATGTGTCGGCTGCCATGAGTGGCTTGCCTGTCAAAGGCGCGCAGCTCGCAGAGTGGCGGGCTGCCATCCATGAACACACAGTCGTGCAGGTAGGTGCGGCAGAAGTGGTCCAGGCTGGAGCGGGCCTGCAGGGCATGGCCGTGCCCGGGCCATGAGCGCTGGACTGCTACGCATGGAGCATAGCAGCATGCATTTGCCAGCTCGTAAGCAAAGACAGGGCGGCATGTGTGCCGCCCCCGCCTCCGGCACATGCCTCGGAGGCCTGCTTGCCCTCCAGCCTCAGCCTCTTGACGCGCTTCACCGCTGCCTGCAGCTCGCTGCATGGCACACCGCAGCAGCGCAAGCGATTGCAGCAGGAGGAGTCGGCAGCGGGCAGCAGGCGGGCTGCCACCACAGCGGCAGGGCTCAGCCTGGCGGGCCGCTGTCCAAGGTTGCACCTGAGGGGCGCCCGGTGCTGAGGGTAGGCGGCCAGCAGCTCGAGGAGCCGGCGCTTGAACGCCAGGAAGCGGGAGGCGCCTGCAGGCATGAACCCACACCACAGCTCAGCCCGGGCCGGCATGCTCCTGGGGCTGGATGGAGCCCCAGCGAATGCACCCGCTCCCACACCGCCGCCATGGGCATACCACTCCCACACACACGCCACTCCGCTCCATCATCCCCATACTCCACACACACACACACACACACACACACACACACACACACTACCCCACCCTCCCACCCCCACCTGGTGCTGGCTGGATGGTGTCCCCCAGCACGACGCGGAACAGGTGGGGGCGGTGGCGCAGGAGGCGCTCCAAGGTGGAGACAGGCGCCTCGCCAGGCGCCTCCGCCAGGTATGGCGGCAGCCGGTGCTGCTCCTCGCCCAGCGCGCTCAGCAGCGTGTAGTAGGGCTGAGGCCCCTGCTCCCCCAGCAGCTGCAGCAGGCGGCGCTCCAGCATCCACGTCGGGTCCTGAGGGGGCCGGGCAGGCAGGCAGTGCAGGGTGTTGACAGCTGGGGAACGGGCTGGGCTGCCATGGGCAACAACACGTCAGTCGTGGCCACGGGATCAGCATGCCCCTTCCCCTCCTCCTCATCTCACCCAAAAGTCAGAGTCGAGGTCCGCAGGGGGCAGCTCGGCCGGAGGGCGAGGCGACCCAGCCGCGCCGCCATCCGCCGCTCCTGCCGCCTCCTGGCCGGCCAGCAGCTCAACAATCTCTACTCCCTGCACCTGCCGCACCTGCTCCTGCCGCCTGTGCTCACGCTCCTCCGCATCGGCGGCAGCAGGGTCAGCGGCAGCACCCGAGGGCGCGGAAGGGGGCGGCGGCGGCGGCGGCGGCATGCCCGGGGGCTGCTCGGGGCCCCACGCAGCATAGGCGCCGCTGCGATCATATCCGTAGCCGCTGCCGCCCTGGGCAAAGTAGTGCCCTGCCAGCGCCGCATACTGCTGCTGCTGCCATGCCGCGGCCTGCATCTGAGCATACTGCAGGCAGGGGGAGATGCAGCGTACAACCGCACGGCGTCAAGTGGTCAAGGGCGTGGCCAACAGCTGGCCCTGATGCATGAGCATGCCAAAGCAAGGCAACAAGCCAAGAAGGCAGCCAGCCAGCCAGCTAGGATCACCATCGCAAAGCTTGCGGGGTCCATTGGCGGCATCGTAGCGCCAGGGTAGCCCATGCTGCCTGGTGCGTACAGCTGACCGCCGATCAGTGCCAAGGAGGTGGAAGGGTGCAGCGGCAGGCCTGCAGGAGGCCGATGCATGAACCCAGGCATGGGCATCCAAGCCAGGCGGGCCGACACGTGGGGTAGCACAAGGCAAGCACGCAGTTGCAGCGATGCAGCAAAGCAAGAAGAGGGAGACGGGGCTCTCACCTGGGCCCCATGCGCCGCCCGGGTAGCCCTGCGCAGCGACCATGCTGTTGTTGCCGGCTGGCACCACCGCTAGCCCCGCTGCCGCCTTGGCCGCCGCCGCCTTCGCCTCTGCTGCCTTGGCATCCGCATCTGCTGCCTTGGCTTGGGCTGCTGCTGTGCGCAGCTTCACAGCAAAGGGATGCGAATTCTTGCGAATGACAGCGGCGCGGGAGGGTGCAGCCGCAGCAGGCCTGGGGTCCGCAGCTGGTCCGCCCGCTGGCAGGACTGCGCCGCCAGCTGGCCCTGGTGGCGGTGCTGTGGGCAGTGGTGGAGCAGGCTGGTGGCGTTGGCGCTTTGCCTCCTCCTGCTGCTGCTCCTCCTCACCCCCTTCATCCTCGTCGTCGCTGTCTTGCATCAGGTAAGGCAACTGAACATGGTGCTCCTGCTGCCTGCCAGCCGCCGCCGTCGCTGGAGCAACCCTTGCTGCTGCGGGTGGTGCATGGCCGCAAGCATTCAAAGGAATGGTCGCCTCATGTGGCAGCGGCGGCGGCAGCGGCTTGTGTGAGCGCACGAGGCCAATGCGAGGGTCAGATGGCGGCTGATACTGTGGAATGGGGGGCTGGGGCGGGGACGGCTGCTGCTGCTGCTGCTGTTGCTGCTGCTGCTGGTTGTGGCGCTCCTGCTGCTGCTGCTGCTGCTGCTGGGGGCGGTGGTGGTGGTGGTCCAGGTGGATGTGGCTCAGCAAGCTGGCTGGCCCCTCCTCGTTCTCCAGGTCGCCCGCAATGCACGGCAGCGCACCCGGCTTCAGGGGCAGGTCGGCCAGCCACCGCACAACCAGGCGGTGCTGCCACCACAGGCGTGCGACCTGCGCAGGAAGCGCGGTGTGTGCAACACTCAGCTGCAGCCGTGCCTTGCTCAAAACAGCCTCCCCGGAGCCGCCACCCATCGGGCCAGCTGGGCACCCCCACCTTGCCGACGGTCCAGGCCTCGCCCGCCTCCTCCATCCGCGCCCCAAACTCCTGAAGCTCTGCTGGCGTCAGTTGGCCGGCGGCGGTGGCGGGGTCGCGGCTGGACACCTGGGCCGGCTTGCAGCACACGCTGTGGTACTGCGCAGCGGGAAGAGCGGCGCGGCGGGCGTGGTGTGGGGCAGTGCACTGGCTGGTGGGTGGTGGCAAGCGGCTTGGCGTCCCAAAGCAGGGCGCTTGCTGCCTGGCTGGTGAGCACCAGCCGGTTTCCTGAGTGCAAGCGAACAACTGTCAACTGATGTTGGGGGCGCACCTTGAAGTGCAGCATGCCATCCTCCAGGCTGAGGTAGTCGATTTGGCGCAGCACGTAGCTGCGCACCTTGATGCGCACAACCAGTCCACTCAGCAGGCTCAGCCCCGTGTCCGCAGCTGCAGGGAGCAGGGGCAGGGGCGGGGTGGAGCCTCGGAAGCAACCGAGCCATGCAACACAGCCTGGAAAAGCTGGGGCCTGGCTGGCCTGGTGCATCCGCCTATGGAGGCAAACTAGCACAGCCAGCCAACACTCCAGCACGCGAGCCTGGCCTGCCCCGCCGCACTCTGCCGCCTACCCAGCAGCGCCCGCTCAATCGCCACAGCCCTTGTGATCTCATCTTTGAGGATCAGCACACCCGCCACGTTGTGCGCATCAACCAAGGCGGGCGCGGCAGGGTCAGCAGCCGAAGGGTACTGCTGGCGGTGCGACGGCTGCTGCTGCTGCTGCCACAGGGAGCGCGGCTGTTGGCGGCGTGAAGCGGGTGGGGGGGCCACCGCGGCAGGTGCAGCAGCAGAGGACGGCACAGCCCACACGTGGCTTGGCGGTGCTACCGTGGCTGACAGGTGCTGCTGCCGCGGCCGCTCTGGCTGCGCCTGATGCTGGGGCTGCTGGGACTGCTGGCGGGGATCAGATGCACTGCTGCGGCTGTTCATTTTGAGGCCAGGCGGCGAGATAGACGTGCCATTAGCAGCAGCAGGGCCAGCCCGCGGTGCTGATGCTGCTCGCTGCCGCACCGCGTCGCCTGCCATGCTTTGTCGATGGTGCGGGCTCTGTGCCGCTGGCTGAACTTTGGGGATGGCAAAAGATGCCGGGGTGGGGGCGGCGGCGGCATGCTGCCGCCGCTGCTGCCGCTGCTGGGTGGCGCCCGTCAACTCGACAGACCCACTGGCCTCAAGCAGGGCTGCATCAGCTGCTGCAGCCGTGGCTGCCGCAAGCGACCCGTTGTTGGGGGTGGGAATGCCGCCGCCGCTCCCCAGCTTCTCACGCCGCCCGTTCTGCGGCTGCGGCGGCTTCTCCACGTTCACCGTCACCTGTGTCTGCTGCTGCTGGCGGTGGTTGACACCGCCAGGCAGGCCCGCCGGCTGGGCAGCTTGCAGGCGCGCACCCTTCCTGCGCTGCCGCTGCATGGCTCTGAGCTGCCCCAGGGGCACATCCTCCTCGCTGTCCATGCACCCCTGCTCCCGCGCGCCTGCGACCGCCTCCCGGCCTGTGGCCGCCCCTGCTCCCTGCCGCTGCCTGCCATCCAAGTCCTCCAGATCGCTATCATTCGCCAACCCCTCCACATCTGCGTGATCCCACTCTGCCTTGGCCGCGACCGCAGCGGGAGGGCTGGCAGCCGGCCCAGCACCACGCCGCCGCTTGGCCACACCGGCCTTGGCGGCGCCGTTGGCTGGCCGCTTTGCAGGGCGGGTTGTGGCCGCCTGAGCTGGCTTCTGCTTCCTGGGCTGCACAGCAGCCAGAGCCGCAGGTATGTAAGGACCAGTGCAAACGTTAGAGCTCCTCTGCACTGCCCGCCAGCCATTTGCGCCTGAGGTGACACGGTGGGTATGCAACGCGCTGGCGGCGGCGGCTGCAGAGCGGCACGCACGCACCATATTGGGCCCCGCGCCGCGTCGTCCGCACCAACCCCAGTCGTAGCCCCCCTATCCCCGACCGTTGGACGTGCTCTCAAGGGTGCGCCCGATCATTCCTCCTTGCTCGGCATTCGTTTAGCTTGCAGCCCGTACCCGAAGGGCGGCCTCCAATGCAACGGAGACTGATGTAGACACCTTGAGAGTGGCGAGAGCCAGGTTTTCCATTCTCATGCTGCGGGTGCGCTGGGCTGGCAGGGGCGCCGGCGCTCAGCACGCCGCCGCCAGCCAACACAAACCTTTTCTGCTGGAAGTGAGCTTCTGTGCTTCTGCCCCACTATGATGTGAATGGCTTTAACAGCAGGACAATCAAGCAGGGCGTGGTCAGGAGGGTGGCCCGTCAACAACCTGGGTTGGCTCACAAGGGCAAGTACAGGCAGGCGGCTTGTGTGGGTTGATGAAGGTCAGTCGGTCAAAGTGCAACCTTGCGGCACCTCTGCGAGCAAGGTCGGTGCGGCGCACGGATGGTGCAATGTGCCAGCCCCGGTTCCGGTCCCGCTGGGCTGCTCACTCCGGCTGGCTGTTGTACGGCACGGGCTGCACGTCGCGGGCCACGCGCCGCCGCGTGCTGATCTGGCCAGACTCCAGCGCCTGCAAGCACCGCAGATGACAGGAGAGCGTGAGGCATGCGGGCCCTTGTGGCTTGGAAGCAGCGCCTGTCCCTGTGAGCAAGCATGCGCGCAAGCGTGCTGGTGGCTCCCAAGGCGCAAAACATGCAAGCCAGGCAGAGCGGCACGCACCTGCTTGACCAGCGGGCTCACACCCGGCTCATTCTCCTCTGCTGCCCCCACCTCCGCCGCCGCCGCCTCAGCCGGCCTGCCAGGCGTCTTGCCCAGCACCGCCCTCTCCACCGTGTTTGGCGGCGGGCGGTTGATGTCGGCAGCCACGGCCGCCACCACCCGCTGCAGCTTGTCGGCCGCCTGCTCCAGCCGCGCCCGCAGCGCCGGCATGCGGTTGGCAGCCTGCAGCAGCCGCTGCTGCAGCTCCTGCGGCTGCGGCGACAGCGGGATGGCGGGCGCAGGCTGCGCCGCCGCAGGCGCCTCGCCGCCGTCGCTGTCCATCGCCTCCGCCTGCTGCCCGCCCTCGCCCTGCCCCGCTGCAGGCTCCTCCGCCGCCTGCGAGGCCGCTCCAGCCCCGTCTCGCAGCTGCTGCTGCTCCCCCTCCGCCGGGCCAGCTCCATCCTGCTGCCGTGCCTGCTCCGACTCGCCGCCCGCAACTTCCATGCCCTGCGGCTGCCCTGCCGCCGCCTCCGCCTCCAGCTCAGCGGTCGGCCGGCATGCCGCCAGCTTGGCAGCCAGCATGCCCTGCAGCCGCGACTGCATGCCGGTGCGCAGCTCAGCCACCCGCAGCGAGGCAGCCGTCACCTCTGCCTCCAGCTGCTGCACCTCGGCGTCGGCCGGCGGCGGCGACAGCGGCTTGAGCAGCGGCGATTTCATCGCCAGCGACGCGCCCGGCGGCGTCAGCTGCGTGCGCTGCGTGTCGCATGGGCCGCCCTCATCTGCAAACACCACAAACTGGCGCAGCTGCTCCACAAAGATGGCCTGCGGGCGTGGGAAGGGGCGCGTGGCGGGATGTGAGGAGTGATGGGGCGCGTTTACTGATGCAGAGTGCTTCCAGCTGATAGACCAGAAAGGATGGCCACGCACAGGTGCCTGAAAAGCAGTGTTGTGGGCCAAGTTTTGCAGGCGACGAACTGCAACACCACAAAACAGGCTGGCGGGCAGGCGGGCGAGCAGGCGGCGGTGCTCACGCTGGTGCCACGCAACTCCTCCCGGTCCTGCTCCGTCAGCGCATCGCCCGCCTCCTGCGGCAACCAGCGGTGCGGTGTGGGTGGGGCTGCAAGCGAGAGAGCCCGCACTCTGCCCGTCTGTCGCTGCCCTCCTCAACAAACCTGCACCCGCCGATCCAGCGCCTCATCCAGCAGCTGCTGTATCTTCAGCAGATCCTCTTCTCCTCGCAACTCCACTTTCTCAAACAGCTGCGCCATCCCGCAAGCACAGGTGCGGTTGGTTTGAGAGAAGGCAACAGTAGGCAAGAGAGTCGCTTGTTACTGCCAGTAGCACAGCCAATAGCACTATGTGTGGTGTGCAAGGGCGTACAAGCTGCAACAGTTCAAGCACCGCCAGGCTGGGCCAGGTAGGATTCTCGGGAGCCCCACGTACGGGCCCCCCATCGGATGAACACGCTAACCGTGAATTTGCGTTGGTTTAGTTGGAACAGGCCCGCCCCGCCGTGCATGGGAGCCATTGCTGGGGGTGGCGCCAAGTCCCGTCGTGCTAGCCAGCAGCCTGATCTCCTGACAACCGTAGAGGCGGACCGCCCACAATGGCGGGTGACGCCGGTGGCAGCGGGGCTGCTGCCAGTGACGGCGGCGCCTCTGCCGCCAGCGGTGCCGCGCCGCCAGCTAGCGAGCAGCGGCACGGGTTCCGTGACTACGGGCGTGTGCTGCGCGAGCACCGCCACTTCCGCTACCTGTGGATCGCAGAGACGGTGGACAACGTGGGCAGCTGGCTGGTGGGTGTGCGACGGCAGGCGTCGCTTGCCCTCTAGGCGCACGTTGCCTGCCTTCTCGGCATGGGTCTGCCGGCCTGCTGCACAGTCTTGGTGAGGCGTGGTCCCCTGTGATGGCCGCCGCCTCTTGTTGGATGCAGAGCTACGTGGCCACGCTGGAGCTTGCCTCCCAGTTCAGCGGCGGCAGCGGCCTGGCGCTCTCCGGCGTCGTCCTCATCCGCTTCCTGCCCTCGCTCCTGCTGGCCCCCGTGTGCGGCGTGGTGGCAGACAGGTAGGCACCTGTGGGCGGCAGCGCTGGCCAGCCAGAGCCTTCCTGGGCTGGGCCACCCCGCCGCCGGGAGCATGAGGCTCAGCCAAGCCAGGCTGTGCCTCGCTTCGTGCAGCTGGCCCCACCGTGGTGCGTGCCCGCCTGCCTGCCTGCCTGGTGCAGGGTCAACAGAGTGCGTGTGCTGGTGGCGGCGGCCCTCCTGGACGCCGCCGTCGTGGCCCTGCTGGCGCTGGTGCGGCGCCCGTCCCAGGTGGCGCTGCTGTACGCGCTGCTCACGGCGCAGTTTGCGGCCTCTGCTTTCTACGACCCCGCCCGCAAGGCGCTGGTGCCCGTGCTGGTGCCTGCCGCCGACCTGCACCTGGCCACCACCATCGACAGCTTTGCGTGGAGCATCACGGGAGCAGTGGGGGCGTCCGCCGGCGGCGTGGTGGCCTCCCGCCTGGGCAACCAGGCGTGCTTCCTGGTGGTGAGCTGGGGGCGCCCGCTGCTGGCTGGGGCCCTCTCGAGGAGGCTGGCGCTGGCTACGAGGCATGCAGTGCCGGCCCAGGTCCCACAAACCTGATGGCCCTCGCCCATGCACACCCGCCGCCCCCCGGATGCCCGCCCCTCGCCTGCAGGATGCCGCAACCTTTCTGGTGGCGGCATGGTGCGCGGGGCATGTGCCGGCAGCGCTGGGCGTGCCAGACGCCGCCGCGCGGCAGCTGAAGAAGCACAGCAGCATGCGGCAGGTGGAGCTGGCTGCCGTAGCGGAGCAGGAGGAGGCGGCGGCGGCAGAGGAGGCGGCGAGGCACCAGCAGCCTGGGGAGGCTGGGCAGCCTGGGGAGGCTGGGCAGCTGCTGGGGGCGGGTCTCGGCGGTCACAGAGGCAGCAGCGAGGCGCTGCTGCAGACTGGCGGCGGCGCCTATGGCAACCACGCGGCAGCAGGCGTGCATGCCGGGCGGCGCCTGCACCACAGCCACCACGCCAGCAAGCAGGCTGAAAGGGCGGGCACGGCGGAGGTGGTGGTGCATGCCGACAGCCAGCCGCCATCGCCCGCGCTGGGCGGTGCAGCAGCCGCAGCCGCCGGGCGCCAGCCAGGGGCCCCAGCCGCTGGCGGCAGCGGGCTGGTGGCGGCGGCCGCGTCGGCGGTGGCGGAAGGGTTCCGGGCGATGCGGGAGGGGTGGCGCTACCTGGGCGGCCGCGAGAACGGCGACGTGGTGGCGCTGGTGCTGATGAAGTGCGCTGCGGCGCTGGTGTGGGGCGCGGTGGACCTGCTGAACGTCAAGTTTTCGGAGATGGGCAGCATGCAGCGCCTGGGAGACGCCAGCACCACGCTGGGCCTCATCTTCGCCACGGGTGACCGCCTTCCGCATGCCCTGATGCCGCCGCTGCCGCCTCGCGCCCATCCCCCGCATCTTGAGCACATCATCCACCCTGGCCCCAGTGATCCGGCACCTCCTTGTGTATGAGCTTAGCTAACAGCTGGCCGGCCCCGCCTCCCCCGCAGTTGGCCTGGGCTGCTTCGTGGGCCCCCTCGTCATGAACCGCCTGGTGCCGCCGCACGCGGCGGCGCTGCGCTGGGGCGTGGCGGCATCCTACTGCCTCTTCGCCCTGGGCCTGCTCGTCATGCTGCTCTCGCCCAGCATCGCGCTGGTCCTGCTGTCCACCTTTGTGCGCTCCATGGGTGCGTGGCTTGCCTCCTCTGTTCCTTCTTGTTTGGTCTTGTGCTGCCCTCGCTGACCTTTGCTGCCGCGTTTCTGTTGGTGTCCCACAGGCAGCGCCACGCTGTGGGTGTACTCCACGCTGCTCATGCAGCAGAGGGTGCCCAACGAGCTTCTGGGCAGGATGAGCGGCAAGTGGGGGGCCTGACCTCAGCCCTGGCCTCGGCCTTGCCCCGCCCCCGACCGTGGCTGCCTGCCTGGCATGTCAGCATGGCAAAAAAGCCACGCTGCTGATGGCTGCCGACTGTACGGCTCTGCCGCCCTCCCCCTGCAGCCACCGAGTCGGCCCTGTTCACGATCACCGAAACCATCTCCTCCCTGTTTGGAGGAGCAGCCTTTGACATCCTGCACCTATCCCTCCACCAGCTGCTGCTCATCCTGACGGTGGCAGCGGTGGCGATGGCGGCCGTGTGGGTGGGGTACGCGTGGGCGGCCAACCGCAGCAGCAGCAGCACGCCCCGCCGCTACCTGCCTGTGCGGCAGGACGTCGAGGAGCCCTCGTGAGCCCACCCACGCCCCTGGCTGGCGCTGGTTCTTTCTTGTGCTGTGTTACACACTCATCATCACAAAGATACGAGGGATGGCCTGGCTAGGGGACACACGTGGGGGAAGAGGGGGCAAGGCGGTCGGGGAAAAGCGGGGAGGCTTGGCTGTGGGGATCCGGATGCGAAGCCAATCACATTCATTGGGCGGAGCGCACTCGGCGGCGGGGCCGGCGCAGGCTTTCCGCCAGCGCTAGGCGCACTGTTGAAAAGAAGCAGGAACAAAGTGACAGCGATGGGCTTTTTTTTTGCTTTTTTTGTGGCTGTTGTTGGCGTATTTTTTTGAGCGCATGCAGGCATGGACAAAACTGGTTGCACCGTCAGAGAGCATACGTGTGAGAATTGCGCAGAGAGGAATAGAACACAAGTGCTTGGTGGGAATCAAAGCAAAGACACGACCGGACGGGGAGGGGGGGGTGGCTCAGGTCACATGCGGAAACAAAGGGGTCAAAACGGGGCTGCGCGCCTGGCCGGCACAGCAGCCCCCAGAAAGGGTGGGGAGGGCGAGACAGAGGCGAGCAGGGTGGGGGGTGGCGGTGCGTTTGGGTACAAGCCGGGGCGCGCGGGCGGCGGGCGGAGAGGCCTGCGCAGCAGCAGGGGGACAGGTGGCACACAGCTTGTCAGCACCAAGCAGCCAGCTAGCACAGCAGCAGCATGGCAGGCATCGGCGGGCACGCCAGCAGTGCCCTGGGCTAAACCTCGCTGCTGCAGCGAGTGGCCACAGCGCAGCGCAGCGCAGCTCACCCGACGGCTGCGCGGCCCGGGCAGGCGGTGTGCGGGGCGGGGATGAGAGCAGATGGGGTGGAGCAAAGCTGGCGGCGCCGCGTCGGGGCGGCGGCGCAGCAGGGAGCTCGAGCAGTCGGGACGCAGAGGGGAGTGCACACGAATCGCCGGCGGTGGGCACACGATGCTGCCCGCCGCGCTGGCACAAGCGAGCAGGCAACTGGAAACATGAGGGATGTGATCGGGAGGGAGGTAGTTTGTAAATCAAAGAATTGAAGAGGAGGGCGACAGCAGGTTCAGAAGCTGCTTCCAGTGCGGAAAAGAGGGGAGGGGCTGGGACAAGAGGGAGCATACAGAGGCGCGGGCGCCGGGCCGCGAGGGCCCGCCTCGGCGCCGCGCCCGCAGCAGGAGGGAGGGGGTGCTGCCGCGGTGCGCCCCTCCCTGCCACCATTCCACGGTGAGCTATCAAAGGAGGAGAGGGGGTACAGAACAATAGCGCGGAGTGGGGGGAACCGTTGAAAACAGCGCGGGGGTAGGTAGGTAGGTAGGTAGGTAGGTAGGTAGGTGGGAGGCGAGAGCGCGGGGCGGGGCGCGGCAAGGGCGCCCGTCGCGCGCGCGCGCCAAGCAGAGCAGGAAAAAATGGGGTTGGGGCCGCACAGTGCATTGCGCAGACGCGGCGGAGCCGAAAAAACTGGGGGCGGGGTGGGTGGGGCGCGCTGCGTGGGCGACAGGGGCGGCGGCAAGGGCGGCCCCGCTCGCGGCGCGTGCGCGGAACGGCCAGCCTATCTCAAACTGGGTGGTGTGGGGTGGTGTGTGTGTGGCCCTACTTGGCTAGCAGCTACGTCTGGAAGGAGGGGGGTGTGGCGGAGGAGGATGTTGGGTGAGTGTGGGGGTCGGCGGACGCCGGGTGGCGGCCGGCATTAGCAGTGCTGCGAGGGAGAGAGGGGTGCGTTGCGGTACG